ACAAGCTCAAAGAAAGCTTTAAATCTGTAAATAGTACACACTTTTTACTTTTACACACTTTCCTGTTCATAGCAATATTAAATCAGGAAAAAAATGCAGGGAGGTATTTAACAGCTGAGCAAAAACATTGAGTCACTCTCAGAGGACACGAGGCCTTGCAGGGAATATTTAAAGCAACTTCAAGTTTAAAATGCAGCTGTTGATTCTACCAAATAAGTCCAAGATAACCATTGCCCGTGAGCAAACTGGGAAACATAGTATATCATGAAGTAATCTTGTCAAGGCATCTAGAGAGTCCAGGTGAGAAGACTCACCTCTGTCGCTTGGGTTAAACAAAAGACAGGTTTTATATAATATTGATTGGTAATAGTAAATCATTCTCCTTAAACCCAAGTTCTTGACCCTATTCGGCCCTTATACATCAGGTCTTACAAAGACCAAAGGGATTCCACGCTTGATCAACTGAACCAGTATGCCAAACCAGGCATCCAATTTGCAAACCAATTATGATAAAGGACAAAATAAGCTGTTTACCACCTCAAAACTTCATGAACTTCACCACCACTAGTGTCTGCCCATGGAGTTAGAGGGGACATCGCTTAGAAGTTCTTATAGAAAGGACACAAGTTTGTTTCCTGGCTTTACCTTGGGAAAATGCTAGCAACATTATAGAAATATTGCCTTTTTGCCTTATCTTCTTCCAAATGTACTGTTAAATAAAAATAAAGGGTTACCCCATGCAATCACACCACGCCATGTTTTTCTTCCTGGAGGTCAGCCCCACAGGATGGTTTATGAGCACACATGATTATAGCTTGTTTCTACTTCAACAAGGTATGCTGCCTCTGTAAATTCATGTATTCAAAGGAAAAGACATCTTGCCTATAATTAAAATGTGGAACTATAAAATTTTCTTAAATCCAATTCAGAAACTCTGATAATCTGATGATAATGTAAAGGAAGCTGTAATTTCTACTGCTTATTGATCTGCTGTTAGGCAGCACAGAGACATATGTGCCTCTCAGGAAGTTCCCTGCTCAACCTGCCACCTCAATTTCACCTTGGCCATCTCCCCCTGGGGTAGGGACAAGCAAGGGAGCTGAGAAAACATGCAGATTAAGTCACTGGTCTGGTGCTGGTGGTTCTTGAGGAATCATTTCCTCAGGATGACTTGACACAGGCAAATGCCATCCTAATATTTCCTTGAACAAGGTGAGATGATAGATTTCCCAAACTCAGCTCAAATGCGTTGAAGTTCTCTTGCTTGCCAAGTGGATTTTGAGGGTAAAGGGGAGGCTGGTGGCCATGAGAGTGCAGGAGTCCCAACCTCCTCGCATCGGTAATTTCTCTGTCCAGCTGCACAGGTGGCAGGATAGAGGTGGGAGATGTTTGGACTGAAGATTGGAGGTGGGCAAGGGAAGGGTGGCTGAAGGATCAGGGGACAAGGGAATGGAGGGTGGGGACTGAAGTGGTTCCAACACAGGACCCCAGGGTCCAGGCTGGGAGGGGGTGGAGTGAAGGGCAGGAGGGATCAGCTTTCGATTCTGAGGAAGAGAGTGGTCACCAGAGACTAGTACACAGTAGGGCAGAAAGGAGGCCCCTCCCATCTGCAGAAGCCATTCCAAACCTAGACTACTGTTCTGGGGCCCTGCGTCTCCTGGTGCACTTTCATCTGTGGGGCTGACCTAGTCTCTGAGATAACATTAAATAAATAAGATATATGCTTATCAGAGCAAATTTAGAAAAGACTGAACAAGAAAAGGGAATAGAGATTACCAAGTATCCTGAGTTTTCCCACCTAGTATAACGTTTGTTAATGCCTGTTTTACAGGGGGCAAAAATAGATAAGCAAATAGATGATAAGCAAAGTAAACCTCAACTTTCTGAGCCTGTACAAACTCACCGCCCACCCCCCAACCCTCACTACTTCCCTCCCGGGTCTCTGCTCTGAATTGCAGTCTCACGCCCATCAGTCAGCCAGCCCTCTATCAATTAGCTCCTCTTTTCTCTTTCCCTCTCGTTTTTCTTTCCACAGCTCTTCCCTTATGCCGACCACATCCTCAAGTATACTTAATATTCTTACCTCCCCTGCTGTGGCCTCTCGTATACTTAATATTCTTACCTCCCCTGCTGTGGCCTCTCCTTCCTCCAGAGCCGAACTTCTGCTTCTGGAGAAGCGGTCCACACTGGATCTCAATTCATTTTCCACCCACTACAGTCTGTCTAGTCACCTACCTCTTTGCTGCTGCTTTTTATGATCACCAGTTACCTCCTAATGCCAAACCCTATAAACATCTACCAGCCATTATCTCCCTGGACCTTTCTGCTGCCTTTAACACCATTTACGATTCTCCTGAGAACCCACATTCCTTTGGTTTCCTTCAGGTCTGCTTCTCTGGCTAACTCGGTCTCCTCTCCTGTGACACTCCCCACATCCCCAGTGGCTCCACTGCTGTTCGAATATGCACAGCTGGTTTGCATACTCTCCCCTTCAGCACAGTCTGTTCCCCACCTGCTTTATTCCCTTCTACTTTGTAAAGACCTAAAAACTGTGTGACCATAAAAACATGACTATAGCATCAATTATAATACACAAGAATTGTTCAACATTGGACAAATGATTAGATAAATGATATGATGGAATATTAGGAAGCCATTAAAATTCATGTTAATAGGCCAGGCATGGTGGTTCACTCCTGCAATCCTAGCACTTTGGGAGGCTGAGGCAAGTGAATTACTTGAGGTCACGAGTTCAAGACCAGCCTGGCCAACATGGCAAAACCCGGTCTCTAATAAAAATACAAAAATTAGCCGGATGTGGTGGTACGGGCCTGTAATCCCAGCTACTCGGGAGGTGAGAATCGCTTGAACCTGGAGGTGGAGGTTGCCGTGAGCTGACATCGCACTACTACACTCCAGCCTAGGTGACAGAGTGAGACTCTGGCTCAAACAAAAAAAAATTCATGCTAATATTTATGATACAATATCAAGTATAATACAGGAGAATGCAGAATTGCTTAAACAATAAGCACTCAACTATATATAGAGAAAAAAAATCATAGGTAAGACTACAAAGAAATAGGCCCAAGTATGAATAGTACCTCTAGAGTGGTCTTTTTCCCTCCCTCCTTCATAACCTTTTTCTGTACTATTTCTATAATGAGCTTTGATATAAGGATACTTACTTTAATAATAAAACAAAGAACAGAAAGACTTAACAGCAATGAGCTTCTCAGTTTAGGATTAAGGAATACAAAACTGGGATCACAGTTCCCTACTTTTCACATCTCCTCTTTTCATACATCTGTGTGATTCTTTAGTTTGCCAAGTACCTTCATGCACAGAACTTAGGTTTTCTTCAACAACTCGGAAGCATGTCAAGGCAATGGCATTAAACTCCACAGATGAGGGAACAAGGCTCAGGGAGGTCAAGTGTCCTTGGCAAGGTCACTTAATGGGTAAGTACAACAGCCCAGGACTAGAATCCATGTTGTTTCCTATAGTTAACATATTAACACAAACTTAGTGGCCTAAAAAAATAGCCATTATCTCACAATTCTGTAGATGAAAAGTCCAACGCTGGTCTCATTGGACTAATGCATTCCTTCTGGAGACCTGGGGAGGATTCATTTCCAGCCAGGCCCACTCAGGTTGGCAGAGTTCAGTTCCATGTGGCCATAAGGACTGAAGTCCTCATCTCCTGGCTGGGCCAGCCGGGGGTGGGGTCTTTCTCAGCTTCCATGTTCCCTGACCCCCACATTCCATGACCCCCTTCATCTTTAAAGCCGACAACGGCAGGTCAAGTCTTCACACTCCAAGTCTTACTGCCCACCCACCCGCCCCACCTACCCTCCTGCCTCAGCCCTCCTGCCTTCCTCTCCTGCCTCAGCCCTCCTGCCTTCCTCTCCTGCTGTGAAGGGATCTTGTGATTACGGTGGCCCACCAGGACAATCTAGGCTAAACACCCTATTTTAAGGTCGACTGATTCGTAAACTTAATTAAATCTTAAAAGTCCTTCAAAGAAGTACAGTAAGTCGTGAAAACCTAGCATCATGGATAGCTTCTTGGAAACTGCAAATTTGAGCAAAACGATGTAAAACAAACCAACAAGAAACAGCAGGTCCTCGAATAACATCACTTCATGTTGTACTGTTAGAACACTGATAAGAAAAAGAAACAGTTTTGTTATACACCTTTTCGCTTTGAGTTTTGGCCAGGTGCAGTGGCTCACACCTGTAATCCCAACACTTTGGGAAGCCAAGGTAGGAGGACCACTGGAGGCCAGGCATCAGAGACCAGCCCAGGCAGCATGGTGAGACCCTGTCTCCAAAAAAAAAAAAAGAAAAATAAATAAAGTCACAGTTTCCAAGAACCTAATGATGATGTTAAGTAAGGACTTACTGCACCTAGTGATACAAAGAGTAACCAGGAGACAGGGATGGGGTGCGGGGCACCTTTAGAATTCTGCCTACCACACGTCTTCTGATGTTTAGTTTCTGTTGTCACTCCTTCTCCATTACTCTCAAAAGTGGTATTCTCAAAGTTACAGTATGTTCTTTCATTTACTTTCCTTTCTAGAATTTAGCTACTCATAAAAATGTGTAAGGAAGAGTGACCATGGTTTTTCATTTGTATCTTCTACTAAAGTAGTTCCACTAAGCAAATGGGTTTGGAAACAATTCACAAACTTATTAACATATTAATAAAATGATGTGGAGATTTTGCCTATATAAGTTTTCACCCCGTAAATCAATGAGGACACTAAAACAGTCTATTAGAGGCTCTAGGTAAAATGTAAAGTAGGCTTCTATCACCATGATCTCTACAGTATTTCATTTTAAAAACCACTTACAATGAATCACTTGGCTGGTAAAAAAAAACTCTTATTACAATACATATACTTATGTTAAGCAGTTTGTTCTTTTTCAGCTGGGTAAGAGACCCTAACAGCTTGTGACTATTAAACAAAGTCTATTTATGACATCAAAAACAAAAACCAGTAAACAGCTTAGCATCAAAAAGTTTATTACAACTGTTTTTAAAGTCAGCTAGGATCTTGACAAATATTACGATTAAGTCTAGCAAGTTGCTAATTTCTGAGATACAAAAGACAATAAATACAGATTAAAATTCAGCCTACAAACAAGATTCTACATCTAATTACTGGTACTGTAGTTTAGTTTCAATATTTCAAACATATGTATAATTCTTAAGATGCTACAAGAACTCATATAATAAAGTTACTGTTCACTGACGACCAACTAACAGTTCCTCAATGACAATATACAAGTGTGCAGGGCCTTCGAGCCTTCAGGTGAGCCCCGCAACGGCCTGCTGGTGCCTGGTACAATCAGAGACGGCGATGTGATGGCACTGGTCCTTTCTGGCAGGAGGACTGGTTTAGGAGCAGGTGCTGAAAACACTCACTAAACAGGACAGAGAGCTGATTTCCCAACTGCCCAATAAATGGTCCTATTTACTGGACAGGATTCTTGTAGAAAACAGGATTGTCGCTGTGTACTTCTCCGAGTGCTACATGGGACACCTCTGCCCCAACACGGTATGGCCTGCTGACGTAGATGCTTTATTTCATCATGCTAAATGTCCTCTAAGGGTAAATTCTTCAATCCTTCATTTTCTTCTAGAGACATTCTTCATTGCTTTCAAGCTACATTGTCATTAAAATAAGTCTTGTGAAATTTTTGCCAAAAATAATCGTATTACTTCTTCTTAAAAACAGAGATTAATTCTTCATTGACTAAAATTCTGTGTGAAGTTTCAGGCCAAGCTCCTTTGTCTTGGTTTAATTCTTGGGTATAGCTGCAAGAGAGTTTAAAAAAATATTTACATACTATAACAGATGTATGGGAATATAACAAAATTTCAAGAAATAATGAGGTTAGGGGACAGATGTCACGGGAAGGAAATCAAAGTGAGAAAAGCACTCTTTGTGGTGTGTGTGGCACCTAGAGCTTTACGTTTAGCAACGTACTCATCAGCTAGACTGCACAGGACGTTCAAAGATCACAAGAGTCCGTCAACTGTGACAACTCTACAAAGCAGCAATATGAAAACCCATGACAGTTCTGGGTATTAACTCAATCTGCACAGCTTGTTGAGCTGTAAATCGGCTCTAACAAGGAAGGTAAACTGCTGTATGCTCTACGCTCCAGCTTCTATTAGGAAGGAAGAAAGAGACTGAATTCCTTTACCTTTATTCACAATGGACATGATGTTGTGTCATGGGACTTCAGACTGTCAGAAATGAAATGCCACAGATTAAAAGTCTACAAATTGAAGGAAGATTGGGTGGAGTTTTTTGCTTTAGAACTCTGTGGTTTTGTGTTTCCACAAGAGCTATAAAGGTGAGTCCTAGTGAAGGTTGCAAGGCCTCTAGGCCTGAGCCAGAACCAAGTCAAACTGGTAAATTCAACTGACACACCAAACAAAAGCAGCCCCTCTTGACAAAAGAAGAGGAAAAAAAAAGGTTTACTCGAAGAAAGTAGAATCATAGGCTTTAATTACATCCCAATTAAAAAGTTTCAAAATAATAAATAAATAATTTTAAAAAGAAAAAGAGTCAGACTTCCAGTCAAAACTAAAACACTAACTGGTGGATCCATGTTACAGAAAATACTATTTTTCTATCTGAAAAAAAGACATTTACCTAATACAATTTTCTAGACTTCTATCTGAGCCCTAACAACAAATATGCACTTTCCTTTAAAAAAAAAAAAAATCAAGAAAACAAACCAAAAAAGTTGTGTAGAGGATACTTCTAACAAGAAAAGATTTTCAAAGTACTAAGAAAATCTAAATTTAGGACTAAAATGAAAATCTTCAGTCCAGTCTGTTAATTTCAGAATCTTCTAAACACCACACACAGGAGACAGAACTCAGTCTTTGACCCACGCTTCCCATGTCATTAACCACAGGACCTCTTTGTTAGAAAATTTAAATAATTCAAAAGATCTATTGTACAACTTGGTGACTGTAATTAATAATTATTATATACTTGAAAATCACTAAGAAAATAGATGTTCTCACCAAAAAAAAGATGACCATGTGAGATGATGCATGTATTATTTAGCTCGATTTAGCCATTCTACAAGTATACATATTTCAAATTGTTATACACCATAAATATATACAATTTTTGCCAATTAAAAAAAAGAAAAGACTCAAGTAAGCAACTAGTTCTAAGAAGGTAAAATCTCTCCCAGATAACAAAAGGGCTTATTTACTGCTGATGTTTATCAGAGAAGGAAAGTGGCTGCAGGCAAGAGACTGTACATCTCTAGTGCTAGGGACTCTGGAGAAGCAACTGAGGGTGCTCGAAAGAGAAAAACCTTTATATTTCTACTTTCCTCTGGTAATCTGAAAGCTTTTTTTTTAAGACAGGGTCCACTCCGTCACCCAGGCTGGAGTGCAGTGGCAGGATCTCGGCTCACCACAACCTCTGCCTCCCAGGCTCAACCGATTTTCCTGCCTCAACCTCCCGAGTAGCTGGGATTACAGTATTTTTAGTAGAGACAGGGTTTTACCATGTTGGCCAGGCTGGTCTCAAACTCCTGACCTCAAGTGATCCTCCTGCCTCAGCCTCCCAAAGTGCTGGGATTACAGGCGTGAGCCACTATGCCTGGCCCCTGAAAGCTTTTTCTAAGGGCTCCATAGCCTAATTTTATTTGTTTTTCACTTTCATTATTCTTTAAAGTTACATTATGATCACCCAAATGAATACTGTCTAATCATGTATTCAAAACTTATTATGAAATGTTTATTTCATAATAAATTTTGCTGTCAGGACAGCAACAGTCAAGGTGTATAAGTAATTTACACTGCACGTTAGACAAACAACAATGGGGAAGGGGGAGTCAGGGAGAGATGCTGGTCAGAATCCAGGCAGTCAGGTTCCAACACTGAAGTCATTTCAAAGAATCCCATTGAAAGTAATGCCTAGGCAGTGGGTCACTCGCAGAATCCTGTTCATAGCCTAGATGCCAGAGTAAAGGCTCCATCTGAGTGGAGGCCATGTCTGTCTGACACTTGATGAAAAGACCAAGAATAGCATCTACCATTTGCTCTCTATTAGACCTCTGAGTTATCCTCACACCAATCTTAGGAGGCAGGATTCTCCAGCCCTCCCCACGTTCCTTCTGCAGCCTGGATACCCAGATAGCAGGTGCTGCAGATGGAGTTGAAGCAACGTGGAGGCCAGTGCTCACAACCTACACACCATCTTCTGTGTATCACAACTGGCTCTTCCTTTCCTCAACCCTTTCCTTACTTCCTCACCAAGAGCAGATTGTGCAAGCACTTTAAACTTTTATCTCAATCTCTCAATTACCCTGATCATTTCTCTATTTCATACATTCTTCATGCCCCTTGTACACACAAAACTGCTGTAAGAGAACAGCTGAATCTACGAAGAGCTTAACGCAAAGCCCTGGAATCTGTTATTCTCGCTTTCTCTCCTCTGTCTGACCATATGCCAGCTTTCCCCTGAAAATACCCCAGGAGAATCTTTACATGATGACAGCAGTCCCACTGTACTACACTATAGAAGTGGTACATATGTGCTGGCATGACATTGTTTTCTTGCTTTTTATGAAATATAAATCAAATAGTAGAGAAAAACAAAGAATCTTATCCTTAATGCCCTGTTGAAGCTCTCTACCGGATTTGCAAATCCTGATTGAGACAGATTAAAAACTGATTTCAGATGTCACAGGCTCAATTCCAATCATATTATCCAGTTATCTTTAGTCTGTTCATAAATGTAGGGAGGACCCCTGACCTCCAGGGCTGGCAAACATATGTTATTGATCATAATAAGAATCACTGAAAATGTGGCTTTAAGCCTAAGACTATCAAATGTTTAAATTCCATGTCTTATTAACAAAGGGCAGTTGGGTGTACTGTATCCGTAACATACAGCGGTTTTACAAGGCCCCTCTCTGGCACACAGGAAAACACCGTAAGCGTCAGAATAACTTACTCCCAGCAAGTTGCGTGGAACATATCCCTCCTTATCATTAAGGCGCGCCCACCACCATTCGATTTCATCTTCATCCTCCCTGTGGATGATTGTCATGCAGTCTCCTTCTTTCATGGGCAGCTCATCATCATTCTGAGGTTCATAATCCCAAAGTGCATAAATGACTCCTTTATTCATTATGCCCATCTTCTCCTGAACTCCTAAAATGATGACAGTAAGATAAAGCACAGAATATACAACTCGGAGTACACCACTCCGTAACTTTTAGCTATATGAAACAAAATGGGAAGAAAAAGGCACAGGCTGGAATGTTAGTACTACATTAAATATACAATAGAACGTCCTGAGGTGGGTGGTAGAGTGCAATGGAAGGCAACAATGTATAGGGAACATACGAAGGACACATTACTATATGCTATCATCTCTAAAACAGCTCTAAAACCTAGCACTTTGTAAGCATCTCTTAAAGGAGCTACTCAGAGTACAAAAACTTTTGCAAGCTTAGGAACTAAAAAAAGAATTCAAATCTAGCATATTAAAAAAGTGAACGATATGCCTGTCCAATTTCAGTCTACTCCCAAATGTAATGACTAAGGAACTCTAGAAACATTACTTCACTCTTTACTCAAAATTCAGAGCAGACAGAGGAAAAAACAGAAGCACAATGGTCTCTATGAATTTCCAAATGGGGAAAGACAGAAGAAAAAAAAATATATAGAATACGTTAGAATACAAAAATATGGCATTTTAGACAGGATCAAAGTCTTCATATAATCAACCCTTACATAGTAAGAATCAGAATTCTAAAAGATGTTGAAATCCACAAACTAGGAAGGGAAAAATCCTCAGAAGTCCACCTTTCAATAGATTTGCAACTTAACTACACATTTAAGTTTTGCCCTTCTTCACTTACACCTTCCTATCCTAAAGGGCAATGCTAGTAAGAAATAACAATCATCAACTGGCAGGCAATAGGAAAAAAGCAGAGGAGAAGGAAAATAATTAAGGTAATAAAGTTCTCCACAATTCAGAATTATTATTTTCACTTTTATAATTTTTAAAAAACCAGGAAAATACTTGCTAGCTTTTGAATAGCTTTTTCAGCTTATGTGAGCACTAAACTATTGATTATGAAATTATTCCTATATCAACTAATGATATAGCACACAGTATATTTCTCTCACTCTGGGAAAAACTGAAACAAGAAATTGTTCTTTTCTAAAAGAAGGCTCTGCCAATCTAGAGAGACAATTTCCAACTTTTCTTGTTTAAAGATGACATGCAAAGCATGACAGACTCACATGGCAATCAAACTTTATATAACTATAACTTCACAGAGTTTTTAAAATGGCCACAGTGTCTGAGATGGGAATGAAGAAAGACGGGGGAGATTCTGGATATTTTAGTATACTCAAAATAACAGCTCAAGTCCCAATTTGCAATAAATTAGGGACCAGGGTCTTGCCCAGGATGGTCCAGAACTCCTGGGCTCAGAAGATCCTCCCACTTCAGCCTCCCAAAGTGCTGGGATTACAGGCTTGAGCTACTGCACCCAGCCTCCAATAATCATTAGGAATGGAGGAAAATTCTCATTACTTTGCTATTCATCAGATTGAGTTGTAAATTACTTTGTAAAAAATTTTTTGAGGGGACTAAAAACATGCTCAATGTTACCGGTAACTTGGGAAATGCAAACTAAAGCTACAACAAGGTATCATTCCAAATCCACCAACAGTTAAAGAGAACATGGAGTAAAAAGAACCCTCTGCTAGATGTGTATCACTGTGACCTGGCAAGTCCACTTGTAGATAAACACCAGAAGACAAGTACCAAAATGTTCACAAGGATGTTTACAGTGGAAGGAAAAGAAGGAGGGAGGGAAGGAGGGAAACAGCACACATGTCCTTCGAAAGTAGAATAAAAAGATAAATTGTACAGTGAAAATAAACTATAGCTACAGGCAACACGAGTGAATCTCAAAAACAGTGATGAATGAGAACAACAGGCCACAGAATCACCAGTATGATTTTATACAAAGGGCAAAAACAAGCAAAACTGAAAATATTAGTTATAGGATTCACATACAAATGATGCAATTATTTTACACAACAAGCAGTGCTAAATGTGAAAGCAGTGGTCACTACAGACGTAAGAAGGGGCCACATCAGGGAGGGGAGTCCAAACGATGTCAGAGATAGTGGTTATGTTCTGTTTCCTAAGTTGGGTACACAGTTACTCACTGTGTGTAATCTATTATCATTACTTAAACAGCACATCCTGGTATCGATGATATACTTCATAAATTTTAAGAATCTGACCAAATATCTCTAATGTTTAAAAAAATCATTCTCCATATCTAAATATAGGTCAAGATGGTCAATAAATTTAATACAGCAAAATATATATTAACACATTGTGTGTGTGTGTGTGTGTGTGTGTGTGTGTGTGTGTGTCTGTGTGTGTATATATATTTTTTCCCCCCCGAGACGGAGTCTCGCTCTGTCGCTCAGGCTGGAGTGCAGTGGCACGATCTCAGCTCCCTGCAAGTTCCTCCTCCCGGGTTCACACCATTCTCCTGTTTAGCCTCCAGAGTAGCTGGGACTACAGGCACCCGCCACCATGCCTGGCTAATTTTTTGTATTTTTAGTAGAGACGGGGTTTCACCGTGTTAGCCAGGATGGTCTCAATCTCCTGACCTCAATCTCCCACCTCAGCCTCCCAAAGTGCTGGGATTACAGGCATGAGCCATTGCGCCTGGCTTTTTTTTTGGAGACAAAGTTTCACTCTTGTTGCCCAGGCTAGAGTGCAATGGTATGGTCTCAGCTCACTGCAACCTCGGCCTCCGGGTTCAAACAGTTCTCCTGCCTCTGCCTCCCAAGTAGCTGGGATTACAGGTGCCCACCACCACAGCTGGCTAATTTTTGTATTTTTAGTACAGATGGGGTTTCACCATGTTGGCCAGGCTGGTCCCTCAAACTTCCGACCTCAAGAGATCCACCTGCCTCAGCCTCCCAAAGAAATGGGATTACAGGCATGAGCCACTGCACCCGGCCAACACATTAACACCCATAACTTCAGCATGTTGGAAGGCCAAGGTGGGAGGATTGCTTGAGCCTAGGAGTTCAGGGCTGTAGGGAGCTATGATCACACCACTGCATTCCAACCTGAGTAACAGAGCGAGATTGTCTCAAAAACAAAATACATATATATTTATATATATATAAAATTTATACTTATATATATAACAATTTTTAAATATGTTACTATATCAAAATATTCTATGGTCCAGAGTTCAAAACAAAACATAAAAGGCTGGGCATGTGGCTCACACCTGTAATCTCAGCTCTGGGAGGCTGAGACAAGAGGATTCTGTAAGGCCAGGAGTTTGAGACTAGCCTGGGCAACAGAGTGAGGCCCCATCTCCAAAAGAAATTTAAAAGGTCAGGCATGGTGGCTCACACCTGTAATGCCGGCACTTTGGGAGGCCAAGACAGGCAGATTGCCTAAGCTCAGGAGTTTGAGACCAGCCTGAACAACATGGCAAAATCCCATCTCTACTAAAAATACAAAAACTAGCTGGGTGTGGTGGTACACACCTGTAGTCCCAGTTACTCTGGAGGCTGAGGTGGATCACCTGAGCCCTGGCAGTCGAGGTTGCAATGAGCTGTGATTGCACCACTGCACGCCAACCTGGGTGACACAGCAAAACCCTACCTCAAAAATAAATAAATAATAATAAAATAAAAAATCAGCCAGATGTGGTGGCAGATGCCTGTGGTCCCAGCTATTTGAAAGGCTGAGGCGGAAGGATCACCTAAGCCTGGGAGTTCGGGGCTACAGATGACCATGCTGCTGCACTCCAGCCTGGGTGACAGAGTAAGACCTCGCCTCTAAAAAAATAAAATAAAATAATCACAAATATCAACAATAAAAACTACCAGCTGAGAGAGATGAAGAAGGGAATTTGAGGTTTGTGGTTCTCTGACTAGGGCCTGAAAAAAGGCCTAGAGACAGAGGGAAAAGTGTTCAGCACAGAGGGCAGAGGCATCTGTTTTACCCTTAGGGGTCTTCCAATCAACTGGGAAAGGAGTTAACTGAAAACTTGAGCAGTATGGAGTTCTGGGACCTCCTCATTTGTCTCTGTCTTCCCTCCTTCTTTAATTCCTCTTAAGCCCAACTAAAGAGGAAAATTTACCTCAACTTCTAAGCCTTGTAAACAAAAAAACATTTCCTTGTAAATACAAACGCCAATCAACATATATCCATCTAAAACTTCAAGTCCATTTTCCTCTAGGTACAGATCTGATGGTAGCAATCAGAACCATAAACTCAAAATTAAGAAAACAAAAGAGAAAAAAAATAAAAGACAGCTCCAAAATATATGTTGCTTTTATTTCACTATATGACAAGTTTGATTTTTAGGAAACCTTGGGACCATTTGGGTTCTTAAACTGATCCCGCACTTCTCTTGATCATGTTGTTTGGAGAGGGGGGTCTGTTTACTTATTTGCAAGGATACACCATCAATCTATAAGTACTAAAGCCTTAATAGAGGGTCTTTTGATGGTAAAGTCATTAACACCACTAGGTCAGATGCTACAGCACTGTCTTTTGTAGTTGAAGAAGCTGAAGAAGACAATAGCTGTTTCTAAGCACACAAACAGAAGCTGTATTATCTGTGACCAAGGCTGTTGTATTTTCAAGGTCCAAGACTGTGGATAATACAAGATTTTTTCCAAACAAACATACTTACTGAATTACACCCTGGAGATATGAATAAATGAATGCAGTAATCAATACATTTAGTTCTACTTGTCACATACCATAAAGAAACTGGGAGCACTGAGTGTAGCCTTCCTCCATTTCCTCGCACTTATCTGCAGCAGTCTGCATGTCACTGTAGGTCATGGCAAACACAGCGGCTCCTGACTCCACCAAAAACTTACACACTTGGACGTTGTTACATGAGGCAGCACAATGTAATGGAGTCCTGTGAAGCAAGACACAAGGGCTAGAACTGTTTTCCTAAACTGAATGACACCTGCTGTGATAAGATATCTGGAAAGTTGTTGAGTCTTTCATCTACCAATCTTTCTTCTGAAAACCTCTTAAAGAGTTTTTTAAAAACCAGTTCAACATAGATTATTGAACCCATCAAAGAATTACAGCCACAAATGAAAATTTCAGAGAGTCATGGACCACACTGGGGCTGGGAGCTTGGCAAAGGGTGAGAAGAATCAAGGACATGGATAAACAGAAATGAAATCTGTATAAACATTTAAGAAAAACAATATTAAAACGGATTTAGTTCTATGTTCTGGAGCACCCAGTCTAATTCTTTCTGTCAGAGTAGAAGGTCTAACAGTCCTTAAGTTATTTAAGTTATACTCCTTCACTCAAAACACTGGCCTTTAAATATATCTATTTATTGTTACCAATTTTGAAGGAATTAAGTTGCATATATGAACTACTTTTATATTTGTTAAATCCCAAGTTAAAATAAATTTTAATTGAAAAACTTTGTCAAATCAATTGAGACCAGAAAAGTGACTGTAAAATACACACATCTCAATCTACTATAGGTAACTGGCCAGCAGCAATTTATTAACACCATTAAAGAGAACCTTCTCCAGCATCTCAAATGTTTTATAACAAATTATAAACGACCCTAGACTAATAGTAAAGGTATAACAAGAACTAGTACCACTGCCCAAACTCAGAAGGTGAGTTTGAAACTGTTAATCAGGCTCTGAAGTACATAAGATTTAATGTTTCTCTACTGTTTCCTCTCCTCTTTATTCTCCTTGGGTATACAGACTTGAAAAAAAAAAAAACAGACCAGGCACAGTGGCTCCCAGCACTTTGGGAGGCCGAGGCAGGCAGATCACCTGAGGTCAGGAGTTTGAGACCAGCCTGGCCAACATGGTAAAACCCCAACTCTACTAAAAATACAAGAATTAGCCGGGCGTGGTGGTACACACCTGTAATCCCAGCTACTGGGGAGGCTGAGGCATGAGAATCACCTGAACAGGAGGCGGAGGTTGCAGTGAGCCAAGATCATGCTAGTGCACTCCAGGGTGACACAGCAAGAGTTTGTCTCAAAGAAAAACTTATTTATTTATTTATTTTTTTGGCCAGGCACAGTGATTCACTCCTGTAATCCTGGCACTCTGAAAGGCCAAGGAGGGCGGATCACTTGAGTTCAAGGGTTCAAGACCAGCCTGTGCAACATAGCAAAACTCCATCTCTACTAAAAATACAAAAAAATAGCCAGGTGTGGTGGCACACACCTGTGGTCCTAACTACTTGGGAGGCTGAGATGGGAGGATTGCTTCAGCCTGCTTCAGCCCAGAGGGCTAAGTTACACTGAGCCAAGATGGTGCCACTGCACTCCGGCCTGGGGGACAAAACAAGACCCCGACTCAAAAAAATAAAAAAAGAAAGAAAAAAATTTTTTTAATTCCCCGTTTCAGATCACTTTTTTTTTTTTTTTGAGGGTCTTGCTCTGTCACCCAGACTGGAGTACAGTGATGCAATTTCAGCTCATTGCAGTCTTGACCTCCAGGCTCCAGAAATCTTCCCACCTCAGCCTCTCCAATAGCTGGGACTACAGGCACACACCAGCACACCTAGCTAATTTTTAAAAATTTTTTGTAGAGACAGGGTCTCTCTATGTTGCCCAGGCCGATCTCAAACTCCTGGGCTCAAGTGATCTTCTGCTTCAGCATCCCAAAGTGCTGGGATTACAGGTATTAGACATCATGCCTGGCCAGAACACTATTACTAATAGTTTGGCAAATATTACTATAGATTGTTTCATTGCATGCTCTTTAATAATGAAAAATTATATACAACATAAATGCCCAATGTTAGGAAAACAAGGGCATTATGACACAGTAAGAATTTGTTTTGTTTATGCTATAATGTTAAACTAAAAATACAGGCTTAAACATTACATATGTTAGGAGCTTAACTACATTTGTGAAAAGCATATGAAAAAGAGCTTGGGCCAAGTACGGTGGCTCATACTTATAAACCCAGGACTTTGAAAGGCTGGGGCAGGAGGATCACTTGAGTCCAGGAGTTCGAGACCAACCTGGGCAACATAGTAAGACCTTGTCTCTACAAAAATAAAAATAAAAATAACTTTTTAAAAAAGACCCTGAAGAAAATATATTAAAATATGAATGGTGTTTACCTGTACACTGTGGGGATACAGATGGCTTTGCTTTCCTCTTATTTCTATTTTGCATGTTTTCCACAGTGGACACACATTAAAATGTAAATGTTTAAAAATTGTAAACAAAGTGCTTCTCCAAGCATTAAAACAAAAATTGGAAAACAATCTCAATGTCTAATAAAAGGGAGACTGTCACAATGAGTATGCATTCATGTGATAGAGTAATATGAGGCTGAGATGTATGTATCTGTGCATGCAATTTATATATACATACATGAGAATTTTATATCGTAACTATTTTCCATATTATGAGAAAAACAAGTTGTGAAACTAAAATACTGGAGTAAATATAGTATGATTACAACTTTTTAAAATCCTATAAAGAAAAAAGTAAATTGTATTCTTCCACAAAAGTAACACATTCTAACTTAAAACTTTTTTTCAAATAAAATACAAAATTTGCTATCTATTCTGCTAGTTTTGGGGGTGACAGGATCTTATTAGGACCTTTACTGTTATTATTTAATGTTGACTAACATTTCTCCTATCCTGCAAACAATACTCATCACTTGTAGTACTGCTTGTGTTTTACGTACACCCTGGTTTCATGACAAACGGATTCCATGGTCAAATATATATGGGATATGTTGCAAGTTATAATCCCCTCTTGGAGATATAGAATGGACATTAATATACTGAAGACTGTGAACCATTTCAGGGGCTTGGGGATACCTTGCCTAAATCAGCACTTCTCTCTTAAGCTTTGCTTAAGGATGCTAATTAACTGCGTCCTACTTTGTTACACTTATTTTTATCATTAACTACTAAACTTGTTAAAACTCTACCTGCTTCCAGGATGGGAATGAGATGACTGTTACACGAACACATGTTAATTCCTCAAAAATAGATACCACATTTCTCCAGCTAGATTACAAGCTCGAGGACATACACTGACATACTTCTTTGTCTTCCAACAGCACTATGACACTGCTTATAAACCGATTCCCACAACTGAAGTTTGACTGGAGTTTAAAAGAAAATCTTACCATCCATCACTATCAGCAGCATTTACATTTACACCAAACTGTACCAGGAACTTCACGATTTCTGTGTGGCCTGCACACACAGCATTGTGAAGAGCCGTGATGCCTTCATCATTGGGCAGGCTTGGGTCATCAACCTATATCAATAAGAAGGGTGAACACAACTCTAGTTTCTTGTCACCTGAACTGTCACTACTAACTGGCTACTTTAGGGTCAAGAGGACAGAAACAGACTCTTGTGACACTTTTAAAAATCATAATTAAAACCTAAAGGAGCCAAGAAAACTATACCAAGAACAATTCTAGAAATAAGACAGACAGAATAACCACATTAAGTAGGCAGTCACTATAAAAAGGTTTTTTTTTAAAAAAAAAAAAAAAAAAGAAGTCCGAGAAACTATATCCTTATAGTCATTTTTGTTTATTTATCCTCCCAACTTCTCACCACAAATTAGTTTCTAAGTAGAAGCTGCATTTGCTATGGAAAGCAAAAAAAAAAAAAAAAAAAAAAAAAAAAAAAAAAGTCAACTAAAAATATTTTAAATAGTAGGCTTCTAAAAGTAGAGACCGCATCTCTAACCTAATACAGTATAGTACAAATCTATACATGAACAATTTTCCAAAGGGGAGTCATGATCTCTCTTAAGAAAGAAAAGTACTCTAGAGGACTCCAAGTGAAAACTGAACTTTCAAATGATGACAATTCTATAGCATAGAATTTAAAATAGCATAGCCTATTCTAAAGCATGCCCAAGAGTTCCTGAACACAACCCCACAATGCCTAAAAGGAAAACAATTTTAAAATACAATTTCTCTACAGTAGCTTTCTAATTAGAGCTTTAAAACAAAATACAAGGTCGTATTTAGAAATTTACTAATTATAATCATACCTCATAAATAATTCTCTGTACAAGGTCAAATTCTCCCTCCAAAGACGAATCTAGCAGTAAAGCAAGGGGGTTGAATTTCACCCTCATTCCATGAGCAATACGCTCTGAGCCGGTTTTACGCAAGTTTGTCCTTTTACCCTGCAAAGAAAATGGGTGGAAAATTTAGGATCCTGGTCTAAGCAAGAGAACATCAGCAAATGGGAAGGAATGACTTCTCAGTTACATTAGTGAGAGGAACTTTAACAACGTAGACTTGGCACATTTTATTGAAGTATAACATTATTCAGAAACGTGTACAGAACTAATATTCAGCGTAATGAATTTTCACAAAGTGAACAAACACCATGGAGCAAAGTTGGAGGAACATAACTTTAAAAAAACTAACATAATTACATTTGGGTAATACATTATAGTATAAACTAAACTAAGAGTATAATCAGAAGTGGCAAATAGGCCAGCTTTCTGTCAAGTATCAGAATTAGCCAAGACTGGTCTTTAGACTGCCTACCTAATATAGCATAGCAAACTCCACTCTCTTAAAGTGGGCAACAGCACAGTTCAGAACTACAACAGCTAACCTATATTGAATGATTATTCATTAACCCTCACAAAAACCCTATGGTCCCTAGTTTACAGATAAGGAAACCAAGGCACACAGCTAGTAAATGGCAGAGCTGGGACGTAAATCCAGGTAAGCTGGCTTCTTTAAAGTCTGCCATCTTAACCATTTCACACCAGAATGCCTCCTCAGGGGAAAGCATATAATTAAGGTAAATAATACAGATTGTTAGTCTGTCTTAGGTATAACAAGGAGAAATCCTACCACCCTAAACTTTTAATGAATCAGGCTTAAAAAAAAAAAGGCAAAATTTTAAAGACTAGATCTAACATCTTATAAAACAGGTTTCTTAAACACACCCAACAAAGTAGAGACATTTACTGTCGTGAAGTGTGATACATGTACTCCACATGCTTCTTTCATTTTATCTCAGATGTGGAAAATCACCAAGTTTTAAAAAACATTAAGTGACAATATACTTCACAATGTGCAATGGCTAAAATGTTGTTCTTTGAATGTTATCTGACTGTGGTTAATATAAATCATAAGCAGTACAGTATAATGACACTTGTCAATCCCACTGTTAAAGAATTTACGAGATAGTTGCTTCTATTTTACTTAAAACGAGAAGAAAAAAGTAAGACACTTTACTAGGAAAAGAACAGCAGAATCTTAATTAAAAAGAAAGTATGAGGCCGGGCGCGGTGGTTCAAGCCTGTAATCCCAGCACTTTGGGAGGCCGAGACGGGCGGATCACGAGGTCAGGAGATCGAGACCATCCTGACTAACATGGTGAAACCCCGTCTCCACTAAAAAATACAAAAAACTAGCCGGGCGAGGTGGCGGGCGCCTGTAGTCCCAGCTACTCGGGAGGCTGAGGCAGGAGAATGGCGTGAACCCGGGAGGCGGAGCTTGCACTGAGCCAAGATTGTGCCACTGCACTCCAGCCTGGGCAACAGAGCGAGACTCCGTCTCAAAAAAAAAAAAAAAAAAGAAAGTATGATACTTTTACCAATTCTATTTTTCCTTTTTTCTCCTTGAAAATGTGGATTATTTTGACACAGCAACAAAAAGGCCAGAAAATAACAAGTGGCTGTAACGTGGATTAGTTTTGGTCAATGTGGCATATAACCTCCTTCTTTTCTTATGTTTAAAACTCAAAGAGAATCAAGCCTTAGAACTTAGGAGCCACAGAGTTGTTTAAAAACTGTTAACCTCTATTTTAAAACTTTTTTTTCTAGCTTCAAATGTTTAGTACATAAAAGTTTTAAGCAAACATTTACTGTAGCCAATTGTTAAAAATAACTCTGGACAATCATTATCTTTGAATACTATCATATCTAAAAGATAATAAGGAATCAAACGCAAAGTACATTTACAAAAAATTCTTTTAATGTTATTTTGCTTTTGACCAGGTTTTAAACTCATAGTTCAGCATCCTACTTCCTTCCGTGCTTACTGAAGCAAAGTGGCTTCAAATTAAACTATGAAAAAGCATACTTCATTCAGACATTCTGGGATTTTTATTTTCTCTCACCTATTTCAAAGTGAGAGAACTGAAGCTTAAATTTCAAACAAAAGCTTACCATTTGGAAGGAGTGAGGAAGGTGCACTCAAGTCAAAACACACAAAATTTTAGAATAACTTTCGTATGTTAAAGTACAAAGAAATCTTAGGGATCACCATGTTCGCCAGAGATTTTCAGACTTCGTTGAAGGGGAAGAAGAGGCTGAAGAGGGGTCCCTCAGCCCAGTTACCCCTCCCTGCCCTCACTTCATCCAGAGCCCTTCCAATTTTACCACTGTTGTAAGTTTGAGGTTTCACCTAACATTTCATTTTTTAAAATTTCAATGCTAGAAAATTTTGAAGAAGATTGACATCACCAATGAGAGAAGTTACACCATCTGCCTGATTTCACACAGCCAAGCTACTAATCAAAAGTTTCAAACCCAGGTCTTTTGAGTCCCGGTCGAGTGCTGCTTCCCTAATATGTGACATCAGCTAGAGAAGAAACAGCAAATGCAGTGTTTACAGGGGTAGGAACAAAACTCTGTTTCTTTCACAAATAAATGGGTTCTCTCTAAAACAGAAAATTGTTCTTTATATTGAATAAAATGCATTATGAAAACATTTATAAGATCCACTCTGTGCCAAGGGAATCGTAAAATAAAAATGCAAACTGGGAAGAAGAATGTGACAACCAAGAAGACCATAACCAAGTAAAGGACTCCAGAAAAGGCCATGAGATAGCACATTACTTACAGGAGGCAGAGAGACCTGCCCGGTGATTTCAGGCGGGCGCATGCTCACTGAGTCTTCTCCTGGCCCTTCAGGCTCCCCGGATGGGTATGGTGGGGGTGGGTATGGAGGGTACTCCTCCAGATACACATCAAGCAGATGGGGGGCCTCTGGATTTGGTTCTTCCGGGTTTTTCTGGAGATTTGGGCTGTTGTCTGGGACTCCCTCAGGCTCATAATCAAGGCCAGGAGAAGGAACTGGCATGTCACTGTTCTCTGTACTGGCACTCCCCACATCCTCTGGGGACAATGACTCAGGAACCAGAGAGACCACTTCCTTCTCGGGCTCCACATGTAAATATGGATTCTGGATTTCTACTGGTCTTTCTGAGCTGGCAGTCACAGAAGCTGACTTGGATGGGTATGATGGGACAGAGATGGTCTCCATGGCCGCTATGGTGGTCCTCTGATACAAAAGCTTCTGAATATTGGGCCCGTTAGGACCCTCTGGCTCTGTAATAGAACTACGTTTCTTTAGTGGCCTTGGTGCATTAGATAATTTCTTTCGTAGGGCTTCTAGGTCAGCATCACTCTGGTTTCGGTAAGGATTAGATAAGAAAGGCAGTAATTTAGTTGGGCTGAGTGGCCGAGGAATTCTTTCGTTTTCATGGTTCTCCTGAACTGAAGAAACAGGCTCTGTTTCAGGTTCTGGACTGCCAGGCTTGCCCTGGCTATTGGAATAAATGTTCTCTGGGTGCTGCTGTTGATTCTGGGCAGCAGCAATTACAGGCTTACCATATACTAATTGGAAAAGGAAAAAAAAAAGCCCTGATTAGCATTAATTAAACAAAACTGGCAAGAAACAGAAACAGCTAACAATAACTAAAGCCTCTTTTAATTTCATAGTTGTTACTACATAATCCCCTTCAAATATAATTAATTTTTAAAAATAACAAATTACAAAGCAGGGAACCCATCTTTGCATAATAAACTTATTACAGAATCAAAACTCCCACTGAGTGTAACATGCACCATACCTCATGAAACAATAAGAAAATGTTGCCAATTTTAAGAAATCACTGTCTGTGGCCGGGACTGGAGGCTCAGGCCTGTAATCCCAGCACTTTGGGAGGCCAAGGCGGGCAGATCACGAGGTCGGGAGATCCAGACCATCGTGGCTAACATAGTGAAACCCTGTCTCTACTAAAAATACAAAAAATTAGCCAGGCGCGGTGGCAAGCGCCTGTAGTCCCAGTTACTTGGGAGGCTGTGGCAGGAGACTGAGGCAGGAGAACGGCATGAATCCGGGAGCTGGAGCTTGCAGTGAGCTGAGATCACGCCACTGCAGTCCAGCCTGGGCAACAGAGCAAGACTCTTGTCTCAAAAAAAAAAAAAAAAAATCACTGACTGTAGCATCCAAATTTAAAATAACAAAATGTGAAAAACATTTAGAACCAATGAAAACAGATAATCCTCTCATGTGTCCAGATTAAAACTAAACATCTTTCACTTTTTAAAAGTGAATCAACGTTGAGAACTTCTATTTGGCTTACAAAATTATTAAAGAACCACTTATAGTTACCAAAGATATTCCCTGTTAACATTCTGATTACATTAAAATTATCTAATTCCCAAATTATTCCATTTTCACCAAAGACCCATGAAAAGAGTAACAGGTAGCATATATACTGATTCTTTGCTGTCTAATTTTAATTATGGCATCTTAGGTCACAATTACATTGTTATTTCAGGACTACAAAGCTATTTTCATTCAATTAAAACATGGTCAGTTTTATTCTAGTCCTATGAAGTAATAATTTAGAAAGAATCCAACAAATTTCCAAACTGTGTATGTTTAATACGAACTAACCTTATGTTTTTACATTTAGCTAGTGGCTATGTCCTCATTACAATGACTCTAAAATACAGTAGAGAATACATGCATGTTTTCTTTTTTTTAGACGGAGTTTCGCTCTTGTTGCCCAGGCTGGAGTGCAATGGCACCATCTCGGCTCACTGCAACCTCCACCTCCCAGGTTCACACGATTCTCCTGCCTCAACCTCCTGAGTAGCTGGGATTACAGGCATGTGCCACCATGCCCAGCTAATTTTGTATTTTTAGTAGAGACAGGGTTTCTCCATGTTGGTCAGGCTGGTCTCAAACCCCCAACCTCAGGAGACCTGCCCATCTTGGCCTCCCAAAGTGCTGGGATTACAGGCGTGAGCCATTGAGCCCAGTCACAGTAGAGAATATTTTTAATAATAATAATATATATAAAGACATATAGACACATAAGACACACATTATACAGACACACACAAATATGTGTATGATGTGTGTATATATATCTATATATACATGTCTATGTATTTTATATATGTGTGTATATATATACACATATACACATGTATATACCTATACACACGTATATACCTACACACACACACACACACATATATGTATATATATACACACATACACACACACGCACGCACACACACACACACAGACGGGCAGTGATCCAGTCCTCTATATGACAAGAACATCTGGTCAACCTACAGTGAAGACACACACCTTCCTTGTGCACTGTAATGACCCATGTATATTTGGTTCCCACTCACCAATAAGCCCCTCCAGACTTGAGACCACACTTTATTCATCTATTATCTTTCGTGCCTACTACTGTAGGAGCAGACATTTAGCAAGCACTCTTTTAAACTCCCAGTAAAGAACAGAAGCCACAGTTAAAAACCCTTAGCATCAGTCAAAATAGGGATTATTTTGCGATCTGCTGAGAGATGGCAGATCTGGTGTAGAACTTAAGCACGTCACCTACGAACGTGAAGAACCTTACCACTTGAAAAGTGTGGCCCTCTGGTATGAGTCTTGGTCAACGCGCTCTGCACAGCCTGCTGGAAGTTTTTTCCTGGAGCCTGCTGCTGCGTATACATGGAATATATTGAACTTGCTGCCACGGTCTGGGGTTTTCTGAAGGGTGGAAGTAAGGTGTCTTTGGAAGGCTGGGGAGTAAAGGGCCGGACAGCAGCAGCAGGTGGACTTTCTTGCTTAGAACCTGGAGAAAGGGTCTGGTCTTGGCCAACTGAAGGTATGCTGGGAGACAGCAGCACTCTCGGCTGCTGCCCTGATGGTTTTGGTTTAGTTCCCATGGACGGAACAACTGTTGACAACTGCTGAGAACTTCCATCTGGCTTAACATCTGAAGGTGGCTGATTAGTTTGTCCAAAATAAGGCAAATTAATCTGTTTTGGTTTTGTAGGAACAGGAGGTGGTACTTTAGCCACACTTTTATTTGCAGCCTATAACACACACACAAAAAGCCAGTTAAAATACTATACAACTGGGTACACAGGATGTTCTAGATAACCTAATTTCACAAATGTAAGTATACACTATAAAAATATTAGCTCTGGCACGGTGCAATGGCTCATGCCTGTAATACCAGCACTTTGGGAGGCCGAGGCAGGCGGATCATGAGGTCAGGAGTTCGAGACCAGCCTGGCCAATATGGTGAAACCCCATCTCTACTAAAAAAAAATACAAAAATCAGCCAGGTATAGTGGTGGGCGCCTGTAGTCCCAGCTACTTGGGAGGCTGAGGCAGAAGAATCACTTGAATCCAGGAGGTAGAGGTTGCAGTGAGCCAAGATTGCATCACTACACTCCAGCCTGGGCGACAGAGTGAGACTCCATCTCGGAAAATAATATATATATATATAAACTCATATTTTTTAATTGTTAGTTTTTGTTTTTATATATTTATTTCTTTTATTTATGTATAGACAGGGTCTCATTTTGTTGCTCAGGCTGGTCTCGAACTCCTAGTCTCAAGTGATCCTCCTCCCACCTCAGCTTCCCAAAGTGCTGGGACTACAGGTGTGGGCCACCACGCCTGGCTGTTAACTAGTTTTTTTTTTGGTTTTTTTTTTTTTTTGAGACAGAGTTTCACTCTTTTTGCCCAGGCTGGAGTGCAATGGCGTGATCTTGGCTCACCGCAACCTCCGCCTCCCGGGTTCAAGCGATTCTCCTGCCTCAGCCTCCCGAGTAGCTGGGATTACAGGCATGTGCCACCACCCCGGCTAATTTTGTATTTTCAGTAGAGACGGGGTTTCTCCATGTTGGTCAGGCTGGTCTTGAACTCCCGACCTCAGGTGATCCACCTGCCTCAGCCTCCCAAAGTGCTGGGATTACAAGCATGAGCCACCGCGCCCGGCAACTAGTTTTAAATCTCTGTATTTACTCACATTTAATAATGAACTTCATAAATGCAATACAATCTCTCCCCTTTATGACTTCCACCTTGTTTCCACTTCCTATCTGGGCAATTTTAATACATTTAAGTGCCCACTTGAAAACTTTTGCTGTCATCTTTCATACTCAGATGGCATCAATAATGGGAAACTATTCTTGTTCACTGGAATTTCATGCAATCTAGACAACTGTAATAAAACACACCTAACTTGGAGCACTCACACATAACCTGGTTATCAATGATTAAGACTGCAACAGTTACAGAAAATTCACCACACAATCATTTTGTAATTTTGAAGAAATAACATACTTGAATAATACAAATACAGTGTTCTTTGATGCACTTATACTTTTTAGAGAATCACACGAAATACGACCCAAAACAAGCACATCAGTCATTCTCCCACCAGGTGTGAGAGCACAGACTCACGCAAGAGAAATTAAAATAACAGAATGCTAATGTATTTTCTAATCTCCTAGGTACATCCTGTTTCTTCTGCTCTCCCTCACATAACACTTTATCCCTTCTAAACACTACATTATAGAATTACTATTAGATTGTAAAAACCCGGATATTTGTAGGTACCTGAGCATCCCGCAAGATATCTTCACTGCTCTGGTTCTTCCTCAGAGTACCAAAGGAAGGTGGGGCAGTGGACTGGTCTACTGCATCAAACATTGAGAACGGACGCACCTTCTTCTCTTTCTCCCTCAGTGGAACCTCTCCATCATCAACTAAAGACCAAAAAATCACAATGACATTCAAACTGTTTGGAATAAAATATCTCATTCACTCGTAAGTTTCTCTCTCCTAAATCTCCCTGAAAATCTGTGTCCACAAAGCACATTCCTATTTTTTAATTAAATTAATAAAAGGATAACCCAAGCACTACAATGATCGCACCTGAGTTCTCCCACTAAATTAAGGTGTTCTGGAAATAAATTAAATACTGTTAAATATTGCCCCTTGTGTTAACACACTAGAAAATGAACTATTAGCTGGGTGCAGTGGCTCATGCCTGTAATCCAAGCACTTTGGGAAGTGGAAGCAGGTAGTTCACTTGAGCCCAGAAGTCCAGTCTGGGCAACATGGTGAAACCCCATCTCTACAAAAAACAGAGAAATTAGCCAGGCATGGTGCATGCACCTGTAGTACCAGCTGCTAGGGAGGCTGAGGTAGGAGGATCACTTGAGCCCAGGAGGTGGAGGCTGCACCAGTGAACCATAAGCACACCACTGCACTCCAGCCTGGGTGACACAGTGAGACCCTGTCTCTAAAAAAAACAAAACAAAAAGGACAGGACAGGACAGGACAGGACAGGACAGGACAGGACAGGAAAGGAAAGGAAAGGAAAGGAAAGGAAAGGAAAGGGACAAGGACAGGAAGGGACAAGGACAGGAAGGGACAAGGACAAGGACAGGAAAGAAAATGAACTATCTAAAAGGAATACACAGCACCTTTTAGATGACCAAAATTTAATGTCCAGGAGTAGCACAAATAAATCTCACCTTGATCCAGAGCATTCCCAGTGCTTTGAGGTGCAGAAGCAGAGCCTTGGCTCGGGAAAAGATCTGCATTTGAAGGACTCCAATCAGGGCCTGCTGGATGGATTTTAGAGCCTAAAATACAGAAAAGCAGCTATAAATAACTCAGCATTCTAAAGAGATTTTTAATGATTTTTACTACTAAGACTTTCAATCTCTAAAAACATCTTTAAATTCCAGACTCACAACAACCCCAATAAATTTACTTAGAAAATACTGTATTATATTTTATATTTTATATTCTAATTTAGTACTTTACTCAAGCAATTTAAAAGTAATCACAGCAAGTCTGCTTGAACCAGCAAAGACACATTATTCTTCATTGTATTAGAAAACATCACCATCACACCCAGAAAATAATTTCCAATTCAAGAGACCTAAGGGTCTAAGGTGTATTTTATAAATGGTATTTTAAGTGACACATGCACAACAGTAAATATGTGGACCCTTACTCTAGGACTTCAACTGCAGTCTTTCACAAATCAGCATATTCAGGTTTTTTCTACACAGATACTTAAATTTCAAAAGCCACCGCTTTCATTTTTCCTCACAGAAACAAAGTAAATATAACTCTTTCCACAAAAAAATCCAGACTGCATGGTACTATTGTTTCACAGTAGTAATTATGGGAAAATAACAAATAATTTGAAAATCAGCTATTTTTTTGCACATGATAACGGTTAGAGAACAGAGACAATACTAGCTATTACTTCTTCTGTCCAGGGGTCTGAATGGTAAGGTCATTAAAGGATGCTTTACCCCCAATTTTCCTACAATTCTCCCTACACTTTCTACTCCCATTACAAAACACTGGCTTGCACCTCTCCATGTATCTGAGAAGTATACAGAATGCAAAGATCACTAACACAAGGAGCTTCTGCTATTTTCACTTTTAATCCCCCGATATGTTTAATGTTATTCTAAAAATTATCAGCAAATTCTCACATGTAAGCAGATATGAATATTTAACACCACTCATCAACATAATAGATTCAGAACCTCACATTCTGTAAAGATGACACCACGAACTCTTACATATGTTTTTACACAAAAAGAAAAGTTCTCAAGTTATTAATATTAGATCAAAATTTCCTTAGCAACAAGAAGGAACTTTTTAAAACAATTTTCAGCTTTATAAAGATATTGTATTTTATTTCATTTCCTGAATAGAATTGTATTATTTAGGGTTAAGAAAAATCATCCTTGTACAACTATGGTATCAATTTCGATTTTTTTAACTTACCATTACACTAGCAAAGAATACAAAAGGATTTTTAGAATTCAAACATGAATAATGAATACAGAGAGGTTTTTTTAAAAACTCAAACTTGGGAGAAAGAATAGTGGGGATAGGAAAGAACTAGGCTCTGCAGGACTTTTTACCTTTAGTTTGTGAAGCAGCCCCAGATCTCATGTTGGGCAGCGTCTGTATTTTCATCGGCCCCTCTGAAGCCTGCATGACCAATGAACCATCCGGCAGGGCTGGCTTCACCAGCAATTCAGGCCTTGAGGGCATTCGAGGCATAGTAGATGACTGGATATAGGGACCTACTGCAGCCACACGGCTTGGGGCTGACGCGGCTTGCTGGGGAAGATTTCCATCAGATGAAACCTTAGGAAAGAAGCACAGGTCCTTCAGTATTAAAAATCACCTCAGGAGATCAGACTTAGAAACTAAGATGTGACATTTTCTTTTTTAAAATGAGGACTTTCAGAATCTAGCCATAGAGTCTACAGAAAAACATTCCAAAATAAACACTCCCCAATGAACTCTCACCCACACTTTATTACAAGTATTAGAAAGACAAACAGAGCTACACAGGTAATAACATTAAAAAGTAAAAAAGCAGCGGATTATCTTTTGAGGATCCATAAACAGCATCTGTTTTCTGACGGCACACTGAATAATGATTCTGAAGAAGGTGCCTATGAGTAACCTCACCGGGCTGGTCATCCTTTTCCCTCCTCCCCCAAACCATTACAAAACGGCCCACTTACTGGTAGATTTTCTTTTTGCTGTAGAGCTGCCTTCTTCTTCCACAGCCGGTCCCTCAGCTCATTAACACGCTTATCCATGACTGCCACTTCTGAATTACGTTTATTCAAACACTCCCTCTGTTGTTGTAGCTTGGCATTCTGCTCTTGATTCAATTTGTTTCTTAGCTGAATAAAAGAGAGGGGAAAAAAGGTAGCCAAGGAGTAGGAAGAAAATGTCTCAAACGTTAATCACATGGTTAACTATTACATAATTTCTAAAAATATGAGGTCCCTCCACCCCTCCACACTTCTCATCTCATGGTTTAAAATTAAGTGACACCTGTGCAAGACCACCAGCTGTGGTTATGAGGAATGTCTCAAATTTCCTGTCTGAGGTACTATAAAGTTTACTCTGGATTCTCTGGAGTTTAGCTTCCCCCTACAATCTGCCTTCTCTTTAAGGAAAGGCAACTGAAATCTAGCACCTCTTGCTACTTATATGAGCAACTCTGTTTCTGGAAAGGAGGTTGTACAGCATTTGGCAAACAGCTACGGTCTACCTGCAGCTCCTTATAGAGGCGATCAAGCTCAGCCACCGCAGACTGATTGTCATGGTGGCCGTCAATCCTGCCGTTCTTGAGCATCTCGAGCTGCCTGGTCAGTTCTTCTACTTTTGACACAGCCAGGACGAGCTCCCTCTGTTTTTGCTGGAACAAACTATTCATCTGTTCAATTTCCTCCACTAGATGAGAGAGAGAACAACAACAACAGTTGAAAAGAAAAATAAGAATGGACTACTTCCCAGGCAACCAGGCTTTACAATAAACTTTCTAATAAACAGTAGAAAAATTTTTCAGAACGTCCTAGAAGCAACCTACTTCTTTCAGAAGCAATTGAAATCAACAGAGACATCTTTAAACCTCTGTGCTTCAATCTCAATGTATCGTTATTGGAATTTGCATTAAAAATATTATTAAACTCCAAATTTTAGAAACAATGAAAATTTCTTTAGAACTTTCAATTTTATAAGATTAGGTGGGTCTATTAAATCACTAACATTCTGATTAAAATGGTACTGTAATAGATGGAGCTATTACATGAATAAAAATCCTTGCCTTCATCAAACTCTCAGTCAAAAAATGTTAAGAGAGGAAAAAATACTACATTTTCCAAAGGTATCTTAGAAATCCTGTATAAAACATTCAACAGCTGAATCCAATTCAGAGGAACCTGCGGCATCAAAACTGCAGTGAATAATATTTTTTTCAAAAGATTCCCTTTAAAGTTATCTACAGATCAACCATAGTGGCTTGCACCTGTAACCCCAGCTACTCAGGAGGCTGAGGTGGGAGGATCACTTGAGGCCAGGGTTCAAAAGACCAGCCTGGGCTGTTTAGTAAGACTCTGTCTCAAAAAAAAAAAAAACAGACAAAAAGATGTAGAAAAAGGTAAATCTATGAGGAACAACTTACCAAGTTTCCCATTGCTTAGTCTCTTCTGTTCCACGTGGCCTTTAAGTGCTCTCACTTTTTTTAGCTTAGCTTCCTGATTCTCAGCTATTTCTTTTAGCCTTTTAAGCTTCTCCTGCTCAGCAACTTGTTGCTGTTGTCGCTGATCTTGTTGTTTCAAAAACTTTAAGCGCTGTTCCTAAAAATAAAAGTAATCATTAGGTATGTCATTTTAGATAGGTACACCACTAAGCTCAAAATAGCCTAACCGCAACACTTAGATGTTGAGATTGAGGTACACCTGTAACCCTGGTCTGGTCTCCCTTCTTCCTAAACACTGCTATCAGAATCACAATGGAAGTCTGTTCAAAACAGATACTCCTGAGCCCACCCTAGAAGCTTGGGGATAAGATCCAGGAATCAGTATTTTTAACCCAAGTGGTTCTCATGCAGCCAGGATGCAGCGATTCTTGAACTAGTTTTCATAAACTGTTGCACCAATTTTAAAAAGCAGCTCGTGTAGAAATGGGAAGCATTATAAGAAAGTATTTAAATGTATAAGATTTGGAGTACATTTAGATTCGAACCCAAGCTCTGCCACTTATTAGCTATGAGACCTTGAACAAACTGCATAACCTCACCAAGTATGCAAGTCTATGTTTCTTCATCTATAAAACGGGGATGATCAATAGGAACTACCAATGTTACTACGGTGAAGATTAAATGAAATGTGAAATGTAAATGTCTTTGAATGGTATTTTATGTAGTATATTCTCAATAAATGGTCACTGAAAAGAGCTAAAGAAATATTTAACACCTTTAGAAAGCTGCAATTATGGAATCTGAAACTGTTTCTTTCCCCTGCCCCAAGGTACTTTTGTTATAGCAGAAATTTTGTATTTATTACATTAAAAATTTTAACTAAAACTGAGTAACAGAGCCACACAATTTATAATCACAGGTAAACTAGTTCTTAGATTAATATGCCAGAAACATATAAGTAACATGGAAATAATCAAAACAAAAACCCTGGCTAAGGCAGGAGGATTACTTGAACCCAGGAATTCAAGTCCAGCCTGGGCAACACAGTGAGAACCTATATCAAAAGAAAAAAAAAAAAAAACCCACAAGCACTTGTTTTTTAGTCCTTGAAGACTAAAAAGGTTAGAGATTTATTCTTCAACAACCAACCCTTTTATTTGACTATATATCCTTACCACTCAATGTAATGTGCATGAGCATCACCTGGAAGCTTGTGAGAAATGCAGAAGCTCAAATCTCAACTCATACCTACTGAATCAGAATAGGCATTTTCAACACAATCCCTAGGAGATTCGTATGTATCTTAAAGTTTGAGAAGCAATGATACATATGATTTTGGAAAAACTGGGGTCTGGTATTACAGACAGAAATGGATACACAGGAACCCTAGAAAGTACGAAATGGAAGTCCACACTGCGTGTTGAGAACTGCCTTGAAGAATTCCTGGCCATTATTTCAAAGCCCTATTGGGTAACTTTGCCCATGACAAACCAACAAGTGTCTACCCCTGCTTCAGTGGCCTTATAATCACTAAAGGACTGGTGAGTTGTGGATCCTGGGTGTTAAGACCAGGGGTTGACAAACTATAGCTTGCAGGCCAAATCCAGCTTGCTATCTTGTTTTTGTAAGTAAAGTTTTATTGGGACATAGCCACACTATCTATTTACCTATTATCCATGACAGCTTATAACAGCAGAGTTGAGTAGTTGCAACAGAGGCAGCAAACCTTGCAAAGCCCAAAATATTTACTATGTAGCCCTTTACAGAGAAAGGTCTGTTGGCTTTTGGGTCAAATTGGAAGCCTATGGCTGGCAGGAGAAGCAGCAGTTCTGATGGTAACGGAGTGGCTTCTTATATTTTCCTTGTTCAAGGCCAGGACTAGCGTTAGTTTGTGGATAAAGAATGTTCCCCAAAAAAAGGCAAGCAGCCCATTATTGGTTCCAAGCTCCAGAAGGGGACAGTATTAGATTATTCTGATCCAAGATTAACCATGCCATGTTAGAACTTTAATATTCCTCTTGCTGTGGCCCACAGTAGTTCCTAGGAGCAAAGATGAAGGGCTCTTTCCACCTTTCCTGTCTGACTGATAACCAGCATAGCACAGTTAATGTTGATCAGAATCAGGAGTCAGGAAGATCTTGAACAATTAGGATGATACAAGGATTTCTACAAAATGCTGTAGTAAGGACTTAAAGAGAGCACCAAGAGAGCACCAAACAGCAGGTGGCTTTTGGGTTGACAATGTCACTTCATATCTGTGAGGTAATTGGCTTAATGGGGGTAGAACATAAATAGCCTTACACATCCATTAACAATAGCGGCCTGTTAGGTCTTTTAAAAGAAGATACTACCAGCCAGGCCCGATGGCTCACGCCTGTAATCCCAACACTTTGGGAGGCCAAAGTGGCAGATCACCTGAGGTCAGGAGTTTGAGACCAGCCTGGCCAACACGGTGAAACCCCATCTCTACAAAAAATACAAAATTTAGCCAGGTGTGGTGGCATTTGCCGGTAATCCCAGCTACTTGGGAGGCTGAAACAGTAGAATCACTTGAACTCAGGGGGTGGAGGTTGCAGTGAGCGGAGATCGTGCCACTGCACTCCAGCCTAGGCGACAGAGTGAGACTTCATCTCCAAAAAAACAAGAAGATACTACCTTAGTTGCCAGCAATTGTTGCTGGGCTTCAATCTGTTGCTGCTGGCGAGATGCCATTTCCTGAAGTTCAGCAAGAGTCAGATCCATCCTAGGACTATTAACCTACAAGTAAAAACACAAATAAACACAATCCCAACTTACTATAAAACTATCACAGAGTTTCTACCCTCAAAAGTCTATGTAAAAGCTTCATCTGAACCAACTACAATAAAATTATTTAGTGATTTTTCTTTCATAATATTAAGCAGACCATTAATTCTTACATTAATACTCATCACATTGACTTTTTAAGATATAAAACATACTAATATACAATAATCTTTTATTTTAAGTTGTAAGTTTAAAATTAAATAGTTTCAACAGTCAGGGACATAAATGGAACAATTCAGAATTACCTTGCTCTGTAATTTATATTACAACAGAAGATCATATATTTGATCATATTAAACATGGTATTGAGGCACTGGCAGCAAACCTAGAATTTAGTCACTGGAATATCATTTAAAAATACAATAGCACTAAAAAATTCAAGACACATTGGGTCAACAGAAACAAAGCAAGGACATCCACTCTCACAACATCTATTCTACATTGTCCTAGAGGTTCTAGCCAATGCAATAAACAAGAAAGACAAATAAACAGCATCTAGATTGGTAAGAAAGAAGTTCAACTGCCTTCACAGACAATATAATCATCTATGAAGAAAATACTATGGAATCTCCAAAAAAAACTACCAGATAAATAGGTTACATAGCAAGACCGCAGGATAATAAAAAAAAAAATCAACTATGCAAAAGTCAAGTACATTTCAATATATTAGAAACAATTATAAATTTAAAAATTTTAAATACCATTTATAGTATCAAAAATATGAAATACTTAGGGATAAATTTAATAAATATGTAAGATGTATATACCAAAATCTCAAAAACTGCTGAAAGAAAATCCAAATAAATGGAGAGTCACACCATGTACATGAATTGGAGGCTCAATACTGTCAAGACAGCAATTCTTCTTAAACTGATCTACAGATTCAACAAAATCTCAACTGAAATACAAACAGGCATTTTTGTAAAAATTGATGTTGATTCTAAAATTCATATGGAAGTAATAAGCATCTAGAATAGCCAAAACAACTCTGAGAAGAATAAAGTTGTAAAACTTACATTATCTGACTTCAAGACTTATAAAAGTTCCAGTGACCAATCATGTGGTATTGACGTCAAAATAGACAAGCAGATCAATGAAACAGAATAGCGAGTACAAAAATAGCCCCATACATGAGGCAACTGATTTTAGACAAAGGTGCAAAAGCAACTGAATGGAAAAAGAATAATCTTTCCAATACATACTGCTTATACAATTAGATATTCATATTAAAAAGATAAACTTTAGGGCCGGGCACAGTGGCTCACGCCTGTAATCCTAGAACTTTGGGAGGCCAAGGCGGGTGGATCACCTGAGGTCAGGAGTTCAAGACCAGCCTGACCAATATGGTGAAACCCTATATCTACTAAAAATACAAAAATTAGCTGGGCGTGGTGGCGGGCACCTATAATCACAGCTACTCAGGAGGTTGAGGCAGGAGAATCACTTGAATCTGGGAGGTGGAGCTTGCAGTGAGCCGAGATCGCACCATTGCACTCCAGCCTAGGCGACAGAGTAAGACTCTGTCTCAAAAAAAAAAAAAAAAAAAAAAATGAACTTTGATTCTCACACCATATGCAAACGTTAACTCAATAGGGATCATAGATTTAAAGGTAAAACTGAAAACTACAAAACTTCTAAAAGAAAACAAAGAAAAAAAAAATCTCTGTGACCCTGGGTTGGGCTAAGAGTTCTTAGATACAACACTAAAAGTATGCTCCATTAAAAAAAAAAAAAAAACTGGATCCAGACTATTAGAACTCTCAAACTCAGTAAGAGAGCAAAAAACTGGGCAAAAGATTTGAACAAATAATTTCACCAAAGAAGAAACACAGAGAGCAAATAAGCACATGAAAAGATGTCCAAAATCATTAGTCACTAGAGAAATACAAATTAAAACCACAATGCAATACCACTACACATATATTTTAATGGCTAAAATTTTAAAAACTGACCATACCAAACGTTGGCAAGGATGTGGAAACAGTAAAACTCTGGTGGGCATGTAAAATAATATGATCACTTTGGAAACATTTGGCAGCTTTTTAAAAATACATATATAAAGATACAATTTATCTCTTTAATAGAGACACAGTCTCGCTTTGTTGCCCAGGCTAGTCTCAAACTTCTGGCTCCAAGTGATCCTCCTGCCTCAGCCTCTAATTGGTGAAGGAGGAGATACATTGTATCCATATGCACTAAAACAATGGCTAAGATCATTTTTATCATTTGCATATCATCCTTTCATCATTGTAAGATAATTATTAAATCAAAGAAAAGACTGGGTGCCATGGCTTATGTCTGTAATCCCAGCACTTCGGGACGCAGAGGTGGGTGGATCACTTGAGGTCAGGAGTTCAAGACCAGTCTGGCCAACATGGTGAAACCCCATCTCTATTAAAAACACAAAAATTAGCTGGGTGTGGTGGCACACACCTGTAATCCCAGCTACTTGGGAGGCTGAGGCAGAAGAATGGCATGAACTCAGAAGTCAGAGTTTGCAGTGAGCTGAGACCATGCCACTGCACTCCAGCCTGGGCGATAGAATGTGACTTGGTCCCAGAAAACAGTAAAATAAAATAAAAATAAAAATAAGTCAAAGAAAAGAAAAAGAAGAATATGAAGACATAGTAAGAACAAATGGTACTTAAGATCATCTCAATTCTACTATAAATGTACTGATGATTGGAAAAAGGTAATTTAGCTAATCCCTAATGGCACTAAAAATAGTGACCTCTGAAAAGAAATGTCTTCCAAATATACCAAAGATGCATGCTCAAATTCACATGCAATAGCAAGAGCATAAATATATAATTTTCCTTTTTTTTTCTGAGACAGTTTCACTCGTTGCCCAGGCCGGAGTGCAATGGTGCAACCTAGGCTCACCGCAATCTCTGCATCCCAGGTTCAAGAGATTCTCCTGCCTCAGCCTCCTGAGTAGCTGGGATTACAGGCATGTACCACCACACCTGGCTAATTTTGTATTTTTAATAGAGATGGGGTTTCTCCATGTTGGTCAGGCTGGTCTCGAACTCCTGACTTCAGGTGATTCACCCACCTCAGCCTCCCAAAGTGCTGGGATTACAGGCGTGAGCCACGGCACCAGGCCGATTTTCCATTTTTAATAAAGCGATGATAGCAACAAATAAAATCACCAAGTAAGAAATACTTCCTCAAACTTGCTCAGCTTTTATTTTGTTCTGAATTTGTGTCACATTAAACATACAATTTCTTCCAATAGTCAGCCATAAAGAGATCATTAAAATTAAGTTTCTATAAAACAAATTTAAAATAACCTTTAAAAAGGGGCCATCCTTAGCCCATTGAATAACATAGTAATAATGAATAAGATTTGAAGTTAAAAAATACATAGACTGTGGTATATATAGTATGGATTAAAACAACTTACACCATTCTCCTTTCTTCGATATTCACCAGGAACCTTTACACCATTTCTTTTTAAACTTGGATCCTGAGATCTTGGTCCACTCACTAAGGACAAAATCCAAAAATTACGCATTAACACTAGAGTTGACAGATATTTTAAGAACCAGTTCATTTCCAAGTTCTGTCATTACTGCTGTCTGATATTTTAAGTTGAATATATCCTTAAAACAAAACACCTTCTAATAGCAATGGACTTAAGGTCTCATAACTCAGTGTGTTTTGCAAAATTAATTTCATGGAACAGTGAATACTTCGCACTACTAAGTATCACATGCCACCTAGTCATTAGGAAACCTGTCTGATTCACATACCAAAGGAGGAAAACTTAACAGACTTAATGTACTTCTGACTATGAGTAATTCATACCATTTGCTGATAGTTGTTCTTCCTAGTCATCTATTTAGCTACTCAGTAGTTAAATCAAGAAAAGCTTTACTGAAATAGTTGAAAATTACATCAATGCATCCTTGTACTCACTAACAATATTTTTAAATTATTATGAGAAGAAAGCACTTAAAACTGGAACAAGTAGTATCTTAATTATTTGGTTTACTGCAAACATTTTGTGGTAATTTGTAAGTACTATGAAGTACTTCTACATTTATTTAAGCAAAATATTTGTTTAAGTTTGTGAAGGAACTATCCAGAAACACTATATATTCTGCTTTTTTGGCTAAAAAGAATTTTTAAAGTCAAAATACATGGGTCTTTCAGTACCACTTAATGTATCATAAAAAGAAACATCTTAATTTAAACTAATACATTATAAGAAGCAAAAATACCAACAGAGAATTTAAAAAATACATTAAATTAAGCTCATATCTGTACTTCCCAGAAATTAAAAAAATTATCAAATTACCTCCCAAGAAACTTAAGTAAAATGTCTATTATAACTGTCAGGAATCTTAGCACAAATTCCCATTGCTAATAAACAAATAAATAAACATTACTACTCAGAGCCAAGTATCACACTTACACCTAATTCTAATACAATCAGCTTTTATTTTTAAAATGCAGTTCAATTCTCTGACAAAATAGCTCAGGTAATCTGCCACAATATTTCTGTAAGGAAAAAAAAAACTTCTATAATTTCAGAATAATTGCTTTCTTTGCTGTCTTAAAGAAAGAGCACTTAACTAGCTCCTCCTTTGTATAATCAGTTACCTAATTAAAGTAAGAAGCAAGAGCCTTAAACATAATTTCATATACATTCTGGGTCACTGGTCCTAATTGAATTGGAAAAAGAATATGGTGACAGTCTCGTAATCCTTAATCGAGAGGTCTAGACCAAAAAGAGTAAGTTAACACCTTAATAAAGGAGACTGAAAAACAATCCTGTTTTATCCCAATTTCAACACTATGTGGCACTGGTGTTTTGTGACAATGTGAAAACAGCTCCTTTATCTTCAGATTATAATTCTCACATTACAGACACTGAAACTGCATATTGCACTATTGAGAGACTATTCAATAATTTATCCAGTACTAGACAGCAAGATATTTGAACAGGTAGATGAATGGGTAAAATTCAACTAATTAGAAAAGAGTGCATGCGATGTAGATAGAGAACAAAATAAAAATAAGATACGAATGCCAATATAAAACTACAAAAAAAACAAAAAAGCCTACGGAAAAAAATACATGTTTACTTAAAATAAAATTAAAGACACCAGTGATACCAAAAGGCAACCAGGCAGCTTGGCTGAGGTGATTCAGGTTCCACTCCTGGCTCTGCCTCTAGGTGTGTGGCCTCTGACAAGTCACTTAACCCCTAAGTATCAGCATTTCTCATCTGTAGGGTAGAAGGGGCCAAACTAAGTCAATTCTGCCCCTCAGCTAACCCATACTCTAAATTTAATCATTCCCAATGGTCAGGTACCATATAGACACATGCATTAATGCAACAGTTTAGTTAATGAAACTGAGCTTTTTTTTTTTTTGGAGACAGAGTCTTGCTTTGTTGCCCAGGCTAGAGTGCAAACGGTGTGATCTCGGCTCACTGCAACCTCCGCCTCCCAGGTTCAAGTGATTCTTCTACTTCAGCCTCCCAAGTAGCTGGGATTACAGGTGCCCAGCTAATTTTGGTTTTGTTGTTGTTGTTGTTGTTGTTTGAGACGAGTCTTGCTCTGTCGCCAGGCTGGAGTGCAGTGGTGCCATCTCGGCTCACTGCAACCTCCAACTCTCTGATTCAAGCGATTCTCCCGCCTCACCGTCCTGAGTAGCTGGGATCACAGGTCCCACGTCCAGCTTATTTTATTTTTAGTAGAGACGAGGTTTCACAATGCTGGCCAGCATGGTCTGTCTAGATCCCCTGACCTCGTGATTCTCCCACCTCAGCCTTGCGAAGTGCTGGGATTACAGGCATGAACCACCACGCTCAGCCAAAACTGAGCTTTTATAATGTCCAATAATCCTGCTCGTTCTCCCGCATCCTACCAGACTGCTGGGTCACAGGGATGGCTGTGTCCCCAGTATCTACTGCTGCTTCCCACCCACACTCTCCTCCACCCTCCCCTTACAGTCATCTATAAACTCTGGTCACAATCCTGGTCACTAACAATGTGACCAGTTGAGTCCCTTGTTCTCTCCACCTTCAAGTCCTGCCTTCATTCTGGATGACATTACTGCCCAAATGCTAGCCTCTCGGTTCTAGTTTTCTCGTCTCCACTCTAATTCAGGTTCATTTCAGGGCCCCACCTGGGACCACAACACTAGAAGCCCTCTACCTCCGAAATTTTCAATTCAAACCTTCTGTTTTTTGAACACTATTTCCTTTCAATCTGCCTGTCTCACTCATTTCCTCTCATGACACCTGTTCTTTCATCTGAGACTCGCAGCCTCTTAACTCTGTCTACTCTTTCCCCAAAGTCCCTCCTATCTTCACTTCTTCCCCAACCAGCTGAGGTATCCCCACTGATCTTCCATTGAATTTGTCTAGAAACCTTGGGTTTCCTAGACAATTGCCTAGAAAGAATTTGTCTAGATACCTTTGGTTTCTTCTCTTCTTACAACCCACCTGGGCTGTAGACAACCACTGGAGAAAAATCACGTATGGTCTCATGGTCTCTAATCTCAACTGGCCTCAACGGTTCCCAGCAGTCTGGCTTCCCTAGTAAGCCTTCTCTCCTAATCTCCAAAACAGCTCAAACTTCCCACCCACCTCCATCATCACTCCTACCTCAGAGAAAACAAATGTTTTTAGATGAGAAATCCCTCAACTTACTCCCACAAAATGCACAAATTTAGCCACATCTGCCACAGTTTTATTTCTGTCCTGTTATTATGGAAGAGGGATCCTTCCTCTTGTCTAAGAGGACTTTCTGCCTCAGGGCTGCAGAAGGACCTAATCAGGGACCCTGACTAACAAGTATTCTCTTTCTTAGAGTTTCAAACCCCTACTCTAATGACTCCTTTCCATGCGCATTAAAAAACTATAGTCAAACTTCTCTTCATCCTATTTCCACTGTTTACATTTCCTAACCTCTCCTTCACCTCTCAAATTACCTGGCTTCTCATCATGCGCCACCAGCACAAAATAAAAGCTTAAATATCTGTCACAATTCACAGAGCACTACCTACCAATGTCCCTGCCAGGGGGGTGTTCATGACGAAGGAAGAAGCGAGCTTCGTTCCTCTGACTTCCAAATCGCTGAAGAATATCAAACATTCGCTCATTATCCGCAACTGGACGTTCTAAAGCAAATGAGTAGAAACCACATTATTTTCAGGTAAAAGAAAGATAAACATATCATTCACCATCTATCCTTCATGCAAATTATACATTATGGATACAGCAAATGCTTAGTATCTCAGGTAAATTTTTTTCATTAAAACACGTCTTAGAAAACGAAGTAACACAGATTTTCCACACACACGATCAGAGTCAAGCCAGGGTGGAATACTAGAAAGGGCAATGCATCTCAGCCAGCTGTCGGGAGCTCAGTAGTCTAATCCAGTGGGCTCCATGCTGGCCACAGGCGTGCCATTTAACTTCTTTTTTTTTTTTTCCTTTTATTCTTTTTTGAGACAGAGTCTTGCTCAGTTGCCCAGGCTGGAGTGCGGTGGCGTGATCTCGGCTCACTGCAAGCTCCGCCTCCCGGGTTCACGCCATTCTCCTGCCTCAGCCTCCTGAGCAGCTGGGACTACAGGCCACTACACCTGGCTAATTTTTTTGTATTTTTAGTAGAGACAGGGTTTCGCCGTGTTAGCCAGGATGGTCTCGATCTCCTGACCTCGTGATCCACCCGTCTCGGCCTCCCAAAGTGCTGGGATTATAGGCATAAGCCACCGCGCCTGGCCATTTAACTTCTGTAGTTCCAAAAGTTTCTGTAAAATCTATATTAGATCAGACAGTCCCTTCTAACACTAATGTTCATGATTCTCTGAATATACAAAAAAATTAAAAAGCAACTTTCTAAATAGCCTAGTCTTTTTTTTTTATTGTAGTTTTCAATACAGGCTATTTTTAAATTATAATTTTACAAACAATGTTAAAAAAATCAGACCTATCCATTTCCAAATAAAAGTCTATTTACTGCTGTAAAATGTATCTACATTTGCCCTTCTTCCAGTGAGAATACCAGTGTCAGAATTTTTCTGGAAAAAAAAAAAGAAGGGCACACCTAAATACGTAGTAAAAATAGAAGCCTTCAAGAGAAACAGTATATCTCAAGCTGTCCTAAAAAATATCTTCCAATCTCAAGGGATCTGGATATAAAAACAAGACATACTGTTTGAGGCAGCAACTGCTTAAAATCAACGAAACGCCAGTAATGTCAACATAATTTTTAAATATAAGAATGTTGAAATACCCTAAGAAAACTCAACACATTTATTAGTAATCAACACCTTAAATAAACATGGGAGAGAACAGAGCAGGCAAGCATTCAATTCAATTCAAGCAGCCAATTTGGTGAACCAACCCTGAACTTAACCTGCTTGGCTGCAACAAAGTGCGGTTCTGGTTCTACTTCCAGTCACATAACATACTGAGAGTTGACACAGATTATCCCCTTTTATAAACCACACATATTCTAAGACCCCCTAAAAAGGATACACCATAGTTAGAGAGAAACCCTCCAAAAGAAATTCTGAGTAGACCTTCCACCCACCCCTACAAAATAGACACACACAAGCTGTATACTCAAAACAAGTAAAATCTCCAGGTTTCAGGAGCAAAAAGACAACTCAAAGGAAGTATAGTAGCTTGCAGTCCACGTCGGACTGCCCCAGAAGGATATGGACTTTCTTATAAGCTCCAGGCTGACATCCCGATGGGCCTGTGATGGCGAAAGATCAGGCATAGGCCTGCATAAACTGAAACAGACACTTCAAAGGCTCTCAAAGCTCCCTACTAACACCTGTGTGCCAACCACACCTACGGTCATGCACTGCATGTTGACAGTGGTCCCATAAGATTGTAAGGCCATATTTTTACTGTACCTTTCCCTACGTTTAAACATGTTTAGATACACAGATACCACTGTGTTATAACTGCCTACAGTATTCAAGACAGTAACATGTTGTACAGGTTTGTAGCCTAGGAGTGTTAGGCTATATACCGTATAGCCTAGGTGTGTAGTAGGCTATACCATCTAGATTTGTGTAAGTACACTCTATGATATTCACACAACAACAAAATCACCTAATGACAAATTTCTCAGCACATATCACCATCATTAAGTGACACACGACTGTATCTCCTTGGCATTCCTGCCTATATGACTCTGAACAAGCCATTCCTATCATGCATCATCCGCCCCCCAGCACCCTTTTTTCCTGCAGATGAAACACATCTATTACTGCAACTATCACATTGTATTATAAATGTCTGTGGATACTTGTTTCTCTTTGTGCCCTGGAAGATACCTAAAGGTAACTTTCATCTCTCTATCCCTCTCCATCAAGTGCAGTCCCTAACACATAACAGGCATCTGAGAAATATCCACTAAGCAAATGCACAAGTGGGTAGTGAGGAAATGGAAAAGGAAAGAAGAGGAAGACAAGAGAGGAGAACAAAGGCTTAACACTTAAGAGAATTAAGTTACAGCTTTGGAATAAGAAATTTTTTTTTTAATAACACACATATAGATAGGCCTGAGATCCTGAATGGTTTTTAAATGCCTTCAAATCAAGAGGGAAGGGAAAAAGCCAGAGTAAACATGAGCAAAGGATATAAAGAAACAAATTTCAAAAACCAAAAAGCCAAATGGCCAACGAACAAATGAAAAAACACGCAACCACATTTGGAATCAGAAATATGCAAATTTAAACAAAAGTCAAGTTTTCAGCTATCAGTTTAGTAAAAGTTAAAATATTATAACTTGATGAGGAATACATCTAGAAATAACTGGAAAAGGTATGAACTGATATAACCTTTGCAGAAGAAAATTTGACAATATATATTACATTTTCAAATGTGCGAAACTTTATGTTAATTTGGTTCATGACAGTAACCTGTTTACTACCTATAAGTATCCCATAACATCATGTTGTATACCTTAAATACACACAATAAAATTTTTAAAAAAGAAAAAAAAATGTGTGGCCTGGCCAGGCACAGTGGCTCATGCCTGTAATCCCAACACTTTAGAAGGCTGAGGCTGGAGGATCACTTAAACCCAGGAGTTTCAGACCAGCCTAGGCAACATAGCAAAACTCCATCTTTACAAAAAATAGAAAAATTAGCTGGGTGTGGTGGCACATTCCTGTAGTACCAACTACTCAGGAGGCTGAGGTGAGAGGATTACTTAAGCCTCGGAGGTCAAGACTGCAGCAAGCCAAGACTGCACCACACTGCACTCCAGCCTGGGCAACACAGCAAGACCTTATCTCAATAAAAAAATAAAATATTTCACATCGGTTACTGCATGAGGAGGAGGGAGACGGAGAGGAGGATGGGGAGGAGGAGGGGGAGGGGAATAAAGAAGAAGAAAAAAATTTTTTTTTTAAATTAAAAAAATGTTATGAACTTTTAACCAAAGAATTCCATTTTTGGCATCCACCCTTTAGAGAAATGCTTGCATAGGATCAGAAGAGGTTCCTAAAAGGATTTTTACTCAGCACTTATTAAAACAAGATAATTAATTTAAATGTTTGTAAATAAAGCAATTGTTTGCTCAACTGTAGTTTATGCATACTGGGGGAAATTATGTGATAATTTAAAAATAACGCGGTGGCTCATGTCTATAATCCCAGCACTTTGGGAGGCTGAGGCTGGTGTATCACTTGAGGTCAGGAGTTCAAGACCAGTCTGGCCAACATGGTGAAACTCCATCTCTACTAAAAATATAAAAATTAGCTGGGTGTGGTGGTGGGCGCCTGTAGTTACAGCTACTCAGGGGGCTGAGGCAGTAGAATCGCTTGAACCTGGAAGGCAGAGGTGGCAGTGAGCCGAGATGGTGCCACTGCACCCCAGCCTGGGCAACAGAGTAAGACTCCGTCTCAAAAAAAAAAAAAGATATAGATTTACACATACTAATCTGAAAAGAAAAGATCTACAAGCTATGTTGTAAGGTAAAATAGTAAATTGGAGAACACTGATATGTATGCTACTGCTTACGTAAAGAAAATATATAGAAACACCACAAAAATATTTCTACAGTTACTTACAAATGCAGAGAAAAGGCCTGAGAAATTATCTGGCTAAAGTGATTACATCAAGAGACGAGGGGAATTGCTTAGGAGAGAGATATCCATTCTGTTTATATTATCTCCTCTTTTAAACTAGAGGCTGAGCGCAGTGGCTCACGCCTGTAATCCCAGCACTCTGGGAGGCCGAGACGGGCGGATCACGAGGTCAGGAGTTCAAGACCATCCTGGCCAACATGATGAAACCCTATCTCTACTAAAAATACAAAAAAAACTAGCTGGTGTGGTGGCGTGTGCCTGTAATCCCAACTACTTGGGAGGCTGAGGCATGAGAATCACTTGAATCCAGGAGGCCGAGGTTGCAGTGGGCCGAGATCGTGCCACTGCACTCCAGCCTGGTGACAGAGCAAGACTCCATCTCAAAAAAAAAAAAAAAAAAAAAAAAGAAAAGAAAAACAAAACAAAAAAACCTAGAACACATATCGGTGTTGTCATTTAAAAAATTTTTTTTTTCTTTTTTGAGACAGAATCTTGCTCTGTCACCTAGACTGGGGTGGAGTGGAGTTGCGCGATCTCGGCTCACTGCAACCTCTGCCTCCCGAGTTCATGGGATTCTCCTGCCTCAGCCTCCCCAGTAGCTGGGATTACAGGTGTCCGCCATCATACCTGGCTAATTTTTGTATTTTATTTTAGTAGAGGTGGGATTTCACCATGTTGGCCAGGCTGGTCTCAAACTCCTAACCTCAGGTGATCAACCCTCCTCGGCCTCCCAAAGTGCTGGGATTATAGGCATGAGTTATCGTGTCCAGTCAAAAGTTTTTTTAATTAAAAAGTTGTGCCAGGTGTGGTGGCTCACTCCTGTAATCCCAGCACTTTGGGAGGCCTAGGCAGGCGGATCACCATCAGGAGTTCGAGACCTGCCTGAACAACACGGAGAAAGCCCATCTCTACTAAAAATACAAAATTAGCTGGGCATGGTGGCACATGCCTGTAATCCCAGCTACTCGGGAGGCTGAGGCAGGAGAATCGCTTGAACCCAGGAGGCGGAGGTTGCAGTGAACCGAGATCGCGCCATTGCACTCCAGCCTGGGCAACAAGAGTGAAACTCCGTCTCAAAAAAAAAAAAAAAAAGTTGTAAGAAAGAAAATCCTTTACATGTCATCACCACATAGTAAAGGTTATTAAATTCAAGTGAGCAAGAGGAGTAAGTGGGATCAAAAGTGTCAAGGAACAGAGTATAGCCCTAGCAAAGAAAGAACGCTTCTTCCTCTACGAAAATGAGAAAAAAAGGGAGACACACAGAGGGAATCTAAGCTACAGAGTAAGAAAACTGAGGAAGCACACAATGGATAGTTTCAATTATCTCAGTAAAGAATAAAGCAAGGTAATTTGCTGAATGCAAGGAGGTTACCAGGAGCAGCTAGAAGTTCATTTACTCATTCCAAAAATATTTCTACAGCACATACTAGGTACAAGGCACTCCCCTGGAGCTGGGGATACAGCAATGAACAAGATAAACAAGGTCTATATCCTTAAATAGTTTACATTCTAGTGCATATGTTTGGGGCTATCAGGATAACACACACAAAGTCAGAGTGATGCACTTTCTGCAGAGGATGACATCAGGATGATATAACTGAGAACTAACTTCATGGCTACTTTTGGCAGGGTGCTCAGGAAAAGCCTCTCCGAGGAGGTTAACATTTTAGCTACAGTCCAGAAGGAACCAGCAATGACAGTATCTGGAGACAGAGCAATACAAACAGTGGGAATGGCTATCACCAATGACTCTAAGGTGGGAATGAGCTTAGCATATTCAAGAAATATTTTTAAAGCTGCAGGAAGAAGCAGAGAAGAAAATGGTACCAGATAAGAGCAAAGACTAAGAATCTACAGAACTTCACAACCTCATATTAAAAGTTTGGATTTTAGTGTAAGTGGAAGAGAAGTCGCTAGTTTTAAGCAGGAAAGTGAAATTATCTGATTTTCATTTTCAAAAGATCCCTTGGGTTTCTTCATGTGATTGTTCTAATCTGGTTCCTACGTAAAGAGAAAAGAAAGTAATTCGGAGAGACTGCAGAAGACCTTCTAGAACATCCAATTGTAGAAAAGTCAACCAAAGATGAATAAAAGGACTTGCCTGAAAAGAAGGGGGAGCTCAGCTGAAGTTAGCCATCATGAATGGCATGAACTCAATTAACACAGTGTGTAACTTGCTCTGGGGACATCTGGCATCCCCAGAGGTGAAAAAGGAAACCAGCAGGAGTTCACCCAGCCTGTGCAGGAACAAGGCAGAAATGATGAAAAATTACTCCCACATCTACCAACTCCTATGGAGCCAAAAAGAAACCAGGTTATCCCATTTTAGAGCTCCAAAGAACCATACAGAGGGATTGATTTCATGGCTTACAATAATGCCCATGAGTTCACCATTGCTGTCTGCCACTACAGTTCCTCAACACTGAGTAGCTTCCTCTAAAAACCTACAGAAATTGAGAGAGGGCAAACCAATCAGGATGACTCAAATTTCTAATTAAGTAAAGCTTACACACACAAAGACACTGTTGAGCACCATCCATTGGACCACAACATCCCAGATGACCTTTTATATTTTATATTGTGGTGTCTCCATTTTATTGCAGAAAAAGAAAACAGCAAAAAGACTTCATGTATCATACCAAAGCTGGATCAGGAACACTATGTTCTGCCAGACATGCTATTTTACAGTTTCTCCCCGGAGAAACATGAGCACTTACACAGTGCCACATCTACAAACCAACATTAATAGAAGACAAAAGAACTGAAGCACGAGGCCATCAGCGTCTCTCACCAGAGCCACACCACACTTCAGCCAAATGGCAATCACTCTCTCCGGGTTCTTTGCACAGATCCACCACATCTCTGCATATTGTTTCTGGAGTAACTGGAACTTCTGTGAAGTGCTGCTCATTGTTACTGAGATACACGGTGAGAAACATCTAAAAATTAAGAGAGAAAATTAAGACAGTTACTGGTACTGTCTGCCTAATGCGGTATTCACCTTAAATTCCTTTCTCCAAACAAAATCTCAGTTGGAAGTGCAAATGTACAATGGAACAGTCTGGCTGTCACCCGGCCAAAGATGAGGTGTTGATGGGGGCTTGAGGGAGACCTGGAGCCCAGCCTCTACCATGGGCAGTAGCTCTAGAACCCAGTGACCCTGGAATACAGTCACACCAGTTCAAATTAAATCTGTTTTTGACAGTTTTATTAATGTTGTTTGCCAAATACTTATATCTGCTGGACCCATATCACAAATATATCTTCCTGTTAATCCTGTAAAGGTTGATGAGATAACCTCATCCATATATACTTATTTATGCATAGTCTCTTTTTTGGAAGGACACGTAAGAACATAACATGCTGCTTCTGAAGTGGGAGGGGGATGGGAACAGAGCTTGTGGGGGCTGTATAAACCTAATCTTTATCTAATGTGCATATATTACCTAGTCAAAAACCTGTACTTCTTTTTTTTTTTTTTGAGACAGAGTCTCACTCTGTCTCCCACGCTGGAGTGCATGGCATGATCTCGGCTCACTGCGACCTCCGCCTCCCAAGTTCAAGCGATTCTCCTGTCTCAGCCTCCCGAGTAGCTGGGATTACAGGCTCATGCTATGCCACACTACACCACGCCACATCCGGCTAATTTTTGTATTTTTAGTAGAGACGGGGTTTCATTATGTTGGCCAGGCTGGTTTCATACTCCTGACTTCAGGTGATCCACCCGCCTCGGCCTCCCAAAGTGCTGGGATTACAGGCATGAGCCACTGTGCCTGGCCAAAAAAATTGTACTTCTAAAATGTTTTAAGCAAATTAAATACCTACTTTGAAATGTAAGATTTCATTAACAAAGTCTAAGTAGAAATGAGTAGCTGTTATGCTAACACCTACATGACCTTGTATATAAACACTGAGACTAACAGAAGGTTTACATTTAAAACTCACTAATAGGCTGGGTGTAGTGGCCTACACCTGTAATCCCAACACTTTGGGAGGCCAAGTCAGGAAGATCACATGCGTCCAGGAGTTTAAGACCAGTCTGGGCAAGGAAGCAACACTCCATTTCTACCAAAAATTAAAAGAAAATCAGCCAGACATGGTGGCATATGCCTGTGGTCCCTGCTACTTGGAAGGCTGAGTGGGGAAGGCTGCTTGAGCCCAGGAGGTCATACTTATAGTGAGAAGCAACTGCACCACTGCACTCCAGCCTGGGTGAGACCTTGACTCCAAAAAAAAAAAAAAAAAACCCTTACCAACAATCTTAACAATCTTTCTCCTAGTAAAAAAAGACGTTGTTTCTTAGAAACACTGCTACTAAAGAATTAAAGTTTTCACACCTATTAAATTACAAAAAAAAACTTGTTAATTTCCAATGAAGAAACTAAGTAAAACAGGAAACAAATTTTTGATGGTGATGCAAATTAGTAAGCCCCTATATGTTTATTAAATTCAATGAGTAACTCCATGCAAATCAATATGCATCAGGATTAAAAAATAATAATAATTTGAAAGCGTTACCTCACAGTGAGAATACATCCTGTGAAAATAATTCCAATCAAAGAAAGAATGCATAACCTATGGAACATAAACTTGAGGGACAAGTTTAGTCTTTTAAAATCATTAATGAAATTATGCTAAGCACTGGGAAAAGTTTGGGTTTTAAGACTGCAAAAAAGCAGAATAAGTAGGATATACACTATGACCACAATGACACGAGGACATCACACAGCAATCGGAGGGCCTACCAACAGTCACACAACTCCCCTTCCAGTTTAAATGTCTCTGTCCATTACCCCCAAATGGAGAAAGCTGCATTAAGATGTTGTTTGCAAAAAGGCAGCACCTGGTTAGGGATGACGACGGAAACTGGCTAAGACATCAGACTCAGTGCCTCAAGATTTGGTCAGAGTAAAAGAAGATATACGTGGGAGAAAGGGTGGCCCCTTGCACTCAAGCCAGTCCAAGCCTCCACATTCTGCAACCAAAGCTGTTAACTCAAATAAACAGGTAAAACAGAGGGTGATCCGGAAAAATTAAAATAGTGAACACTGTTGAAACAATTTTTAATGGGGAAAAAAAAAAAAAACACTGTAGACTTTCCCAGTATGAGCTCAGAAGCTTTCAAGCTAATTATCTCAGGTTTTTCACATTTTGACTACATAAAGGTACATAGTTCTAGGGTTCAACTTAGGCAACAAAGCAGCACTCAAAATTATGACACAAAAGTCATAAAGGCTTGACTAAATCATTGAAAAAATAACAAAGCACAGAATTACACTCATCTGCTGCTCCCAAAGTATACAGCATATTCAGTGATGGAGACAAATAATGTACATTTTAGCATTAAATACTACCTCTCCATACTCTCTACCGACAGGAAAACTTGCTTTGAAGTTTATCACTTAGAAAATAGTAACTTTTCATTGTAAACATGAGGCTTAGAGGTGTTAAGTTACAGAAATCCTGGAAATACAGAGTATATGCTAAACACACACCTTATCAACAAATAAAAGCCTATTATGTGAGATAGCACCTTACCTCCCTAAACTTCATCTTTCAGACACGTTATCTCAGAAACTTACATCAACTCTCAGATAAACAGCAGGTGTTACTTTCTCTTTATAAATGAAGAAAAAGACTCAGATAAGTGATCTACTTGCCTACTGAAATGGGAAGGTAAGGGTACAATTCTGTTCTTCTGATCTATCCTCTGTTCTTTAAGCTGTGCTTTATAGAAAGAAAATATTAGGAAATGGTCCATTTAACCAGTTACCCACACTTTAACAGAGATCTGATCTTTTACTTTCTGGAAAACCAACAGCTTCATTTATTTAAAAGTATAATTAAGAATGATGACAGATGTGTTCTATTTATGGTTACTTTTCCCACAGGTTTAACACCAGTATCAACAGTACGTGTATGAGTTGACCCCATTTCTACCTATCATGTATGGAGATTAGCTCTGTGGTGATTTTAGTAATTGTATAGCAGTACGCGATGCTGGGCCAGCAACATGGTATTTTTGTCGATTCCTAGGCAGAAGATCTGGTTCAAATTCCAGAATACTTCATAATTAGTTAGACTACCTTAGGCAAGTAATGTCACCTCTCTGAAACTCAGCATCCTCATCTTCAAAATGAGTCTTTAAGTTCCCCAATAGCCACACGTTTACCTATGTAACAAATCTGCACATCCTGCACATGCATCCTGGAACTTAAAATTAAAATTAATTTTTTTTAAAAAAAGTTCCCTAAGAGCTACTATTTAGTAAATGTTTACTAGGTACCAGAGTAAAAGTAAACATTTTTACAGCAGCTTACAAGGTCTGCCGTAGTCATGATCTGGCCCCCATCTCCTTCTAATCCCCCCTCACTCTGTGCTCTATCAGCATCCTCTTTGCTGTTCGTCAAACACATCAGGCATGTTCCCACGTGGGAGCTTCTGTACTTGCTGTTCCTCTATTTGGAATGTTCTTCTTTGTATGCCAGTATAACTCTTACTTCCTTATCTCCATCACGCCTTTACTCAGATGTCACTCTCTCAGTGAAGCCTGACCTAGGAACCCTACCTAGAATTCCAACACCAAACACACACACACACATACCCTAGCCCATTCTTCTGCTTTATTTCCCTCCTTAGCACAGTCACTAACATGCCATATGGTATATTTATTTAACTCATTTTTATTATCTGCCTTTCCTACTAGAAAGTAAGCTCCATACAGTCAAAGGTTTTGTCTTTGTTCAGTGTTGTATACTCAGCACCTAGAACTGTGCCTGCTATGTAACAAGCATACACTAAGTATTAAATCTTGCAAATGTGATTGCATTTTACAGATGAAAACACTGAAGCACAGAGGGATTTAAGTAATTCACCCAGGTCACACAGCTATTAAATGGCAAAACCAAGATTGAGTCCCTTCCTCAAGAGCATACAGGTAAAGACTCTCCTGAATCTGGACCACACGGTGCCAAGTGTTTCACTGCCTCCAGTTCTGTCTTTTAGAGCAACAGTTTGCCCACAATCCATCATCTCACCTCTGATTTATTTTCACGGTCAGTTTTGTTGCAGGTAGTGCTAAATGGTATGGCATGTAGTACGTAGCACAGCTATACACTCTCAAATGACAGTGTGTTGTCCTCTCATTTCTTCAGCTTACATTCTGCTACCATCATTCTACCTCTGTCTCAACATTATTTTCATTCATTATTTATAGATCATCTACTATATGGTCTCTGTTCTAATGTAGAAATAATCTTTACTAAACAGCCAATACTACAGGCAGTACAAAATTCAAAGAGAGAGAAAGAAAGCTATGTGGAGAAGGGCACAGCCAGCCCACAGGAAGGAAGCCAAAAAAATAAACACCACAACCTGGCTCCTTCCCTCTCATGTCCACCCACTATTCCCCACTGGACAAACCCAACTACCTACCAGATGGCAAAGGAAGCGCTTGATGCAGTTTAGAGAAGTCAACCTCCTAAGGCACAAAAGCAGGATAGAGGAAGATGAAAAGTGAATGCAGAGGGGCAAAAAAAAGACACCCAGCACAGGAGCCCTCCTCTCTATACTATGCAGTCAGAGGGCTCTTGAGCAACCGAGCAACTATCTGAAGGAAGTGAGGACACAGCCCAACTAAGGTCTGGAAGAAGAATGTGCCAATCAGAGGCAACACACTTAAAGCCCCTGAGAAGGACCCAAGTTTGTCACATTTGCACAAGAGGAAGGTCACTGCAGAGGGAGCAAGAGGAAAGGGTTAATTCAAGGAGGCAAGCAGAAGCCAGATCATGCACGTCTTTATAGGCTGGAGGTTCCCAAACTTTGGTGTGGACAGAGGGTTGTTGTTAAACACAGATTGCTGGGCTCCACCCCAAGAATTCCTAAATCAATAGATCTGGGATGGAGACTGAAAATTCTGCATTTCTAACAAGCCCTCAGG